ATATATACTAGCTAGCCATAGAGGTTAAAATATATTCATACATATATAAATATCAATGGAGAGTGCATATATAGCTTATCATTAAGGTTAGAAATATGTATATAGATTCAATATATATATATATACACCTAAACAAATTTAAAAAACTACATACTTTTATTAAAGTTTAAAGAAAGAAGATAATTTCATTAATTGACCATACTTACAAACCTAGGTTAGTGAAAGAAAATGTGGTAAATTCATAGATCCAACCGGTGAAAAAAAAAAAAAAAAAAAAATTAAAAATATATCAATGTAAACACTTGTATGTACAATGTTATTTGCATAAAATTGCACAAATGCATTAATTGAATTAGAATTTTTTGAACAAATAAGGATGCAAAGTTCTCCATTCAAATCTAAGATTTTTTTTTATTAGAAGTTTCCACTAATAGTGTGTTTCCTTAACCTAAAGTGCTTGAATGGCTTCTTTCCATAATGTCCTATCTAAGGGTCATTCTTCTTGTAGACCATAACCCATCATGGATTCCTCCACTTCGTTATCCCAGGTCTCCCTCACTTGGTCTCCCTCGTCTTCTTCTTTCCCTAGTTTTCCATAAGTGGGCTTCTTTGAGTAGTCTTCCTTCAGGCATTCTTTTCAAATGTCCATACCACTTCAGGTGTTTTATCTCAATCTCTTCCAGAATAGTTCTTTTAGCCTCCATATTTTCTCTGATGGTTGTATTTCTCACTTTATCCATTCTGGATATTCCCGACGCTCATCTCCAGTAGTCCATTTCAGTGGCTAGAAGTTTCTTCCTGGGGTTGCTTTTTATGGTCCAAGTTTCTGACCCATATGTCATAATGCTCAGTACTAAACTATTGTAGATTTTTTTTTTGTTTTGGGAATAATGTTGCGGTTCCATAAAATGCTCAGTAAAATATGGTCTTTTTGCAATCTGAAATTTGTCTTTTTATTTCCACATCACATGCACCATCTATTTCAATTATGGAACCAAGATATTTAAAATGTTTAATTCTTTTTAGAACCCCTCCTGGATTTAGTTCTATATCCTCATGATTGAATGTCATATATTCCTTTTTCTCTGCATTAATAACTAGTCCCCACTGCTGATATTCCTCATTTAGTTTTCTTAATATGAGCTTTGGGGCTCTACAAACACATCAAATTCTTCCCGTATCCAATCCTTACAATCCAAAATCCTCAGTAAAATCCTAAATGCTCCCTATTATGTAACAAATAAAATTATCCATAAAGACCTCAACATTCTTCTTGTGGAAGACTTGGCCCGAACTAGATATACCTCTTTTCATTCTAAACTCTTTGGTCACCCCAATCCTCTAGTTTGTAAGCTTTCATCGAACACAATTCCTGACACCCCTCCGAGGTGTCTGAAAAGAAGATGGCCAAGAGACCTCCTAAATTAATTTATTTTTGAAGTGTTACCAATGGGTGGGTAGCTTCTTCGCAAGTAACTTCATGTAATATATTCCTATAGCAAATTTACTGGTTGTATATATGTTTACAGTTGTAAATTTCAATAAAATAATAAAAAAAAAAAAATGTCTTAACATTTATCCAGCATCTTCTGCGTCCTGTGCAATGATGACCTGGTCATCTGCAAAGGATATGTTATAAAGGAACACCTTTTTTTTCAACTGAATCCCCATGGGCTCACATTTTATTCTCCAATCTTTCAAACAAATGTCAAGATAAATCTTGAACAGAGAAGGAGAGGCACAATACCCCTGGAGTAATCCTTTGCTTGTTGGAAAAGGCTCAGAAAGGTATGGTCCAATTTTGACCTGGCAGGTGTTTCCTTTATACATTTCCTTTATTACATCTATCAGACCTATATTAATGTTTGCATTTTGGAGGGCTTGCCATAATAGTCTTCTAGGGACACTGTCATACACTTTCTCCAGGTCTATAAATCTTAGTTTTTTGGTTTTTTTGGCTTTAAGACTTGTAAAAGCAAGTCCTATTTTAAATCTTAGTTCAATGTCTCTGGAAATGGATTGATGTTTCTCCAACAATTGCCTCAGGGTGAATATATGGTCAATGCATGATCTTCCCACTGTAAATCCACATTGGTCTTCTGAACCCTTAAACCCATGCTCTAATTCATTTCCCTAATATTTTTGGCAAAAGGGTTAGTAACACAGATTCCTCTGTAGTTTTTGCATTTTTCTCTGTCCCCTTTTTTATAGATTGAACTGATGTAACCGAGCTTCATTTATTTTGGTATTGGGTCACCACACAATATTCTATTATACATATTTGTTAATAATTTTGCCACTTTTTTTCCTACATATTTTAAAAGCTCAAAATTAATTCCACCTGGCCCTGGTGCTTTAATATTCTTTCCTAGCATGAGTTCCTTTTCGACCTGATCCTCACCAGCAGTCCTCTTCCTGTCCCTTCATACACCCAGCTGGAGTCTTACCTGAATGAGTCTCTGTCTTCATTCATGAGACCATTAAAATAGTTTTCCTTGTGTATTGCCTGAGTCCTCATAATCTTCAGCGTCGCCCATGCAGTTGTTGACCTTTTATATCCTATTTGACTGTTAATATTTGCTCAAAGTCTATTCCATTCTTCATTTTGAGCAATCCTTACTTCTTTGACAACTTATTTTTTAATATATTTATAAATGGCCAGAGTGTTATTATTTTTGTTACTTGACCAAGAGAGGTATGCTTCTTTTTTCCTTTTTATTAATTCCAAAAGGTTATCAGTCATCCATTTGTTACTCTGCCTATGCCTATCCTTTTTGGGTCCTAATACTTCTGCACTGATCTTCCACAGTATTCCTTTCAGGTATCCATAGATCTATGTAGAATTTCCCTCAAATGTTTCATCTAAGCTTTGATCTAATGTTCTTTGGTAAATTCCTTTAGTGCTGTCATCTTGTAGTAGCTGAATTTCCATTGGTTCATCCACTATCTTTTTTCAAGGACAGCCTATTTTTGCTTTAAGGAAGTAATGATTGGTTCCACATTCTATTCCTCTATAGGTTTTTGCATCATGCACCACCATTGAGGTACTCCGGTTCGTTATAACATAATCTATTATTGAGTAAAGTTTCTTTGTTGGTTGGTGCCATGTATATTCATGAATATTCCGATGTTGGAAAAATGTATGTCAAGTCCAAAGTAAAAATGCGTTCATTTACGAAGTTCCAATTAGTAACATATTTTCTAAGCCGTTTCTTAATCAGTATGCTGACACCCGCCATTGCTCTTTTCTCCTTCTCTACACCACTCCAAATATGTATGTGATTTCCGATATTCTCATCCCGAGTTACTTTTTTTTTTGTTTTGGTCAGAACGACGACATCCACTATACATTTTTCTAATTCGTCTATTATTATATTCTTTTTACTGTTCATTCCCTAAACGTTCCAATATCCAAAATTTAAAATCCATTTCTGATTCCGTAATCTTTGCTGGTTAATCAATCCAGTTATCCGAGGCTGTTTATTAGGTTTTTTAGCATGTTATTTTTCGGACTGGGGTGCTGGCCTAGCGCAGGTATCCCCAACTTGGGGAGTGGTACCTCTCTTAGTCTGATCACTCACCTAAGACCTGTCCGACATGGGTGGCCCTATCAGCATAGCTCTCAGGGTCCTCATGATATTCAAGCCTCCTGACCACGTCAAGGTGGAAGTACCCTTGGGGATGCAAATCTAAGATAAGAGACCAATTCAATGAATTAAAATAAATTAATGCAAAACAATGGGGCCCATGCTGATTCATGTTACCCATAATAAATAATAAGAATGAAAACAATAATACCAGCCTAGTGAGTAAGACGACAAGCAGTTTGAAATCCCTAGGTAGGGTGGGGGATAGCCTATCTTGCAGCTCCTCAGAAATAAGCTTCAACTTGAAGCTTTCTGTACCGTGATTCTCGCTGTCCGAATAAACTCAAATTTTTAAAATGCACTCTACACTACAATGTTAGTGTCAACACCAATTTTCATCAAAATTGAGCTCCAACAAGAAATAACTTTAATGATTTGTACTGAGTCGGCGGACCCAGCCAGACTCTGGGTTTCTACCATGATATCGATGGAGTTTAAGGAATAAATTGAGTTCCACTAGATAGTGTCGAGATTATGCAACAGGGTTTCATATGTGAGGGAATTAAGGTTTTGAAAGAATATAGTTCAGGGAGAAAAAAATGGGACAGAAATATTGTAGGAAGTCTGGATAAGATCGGGAGTAGATAGGAATGGGATCGGGTCCTGAGATGCGGCGAGGAGTTTATATGGTGGCAATCGAATGAAAGAATGGCAAGGAAATAGTGTTCATTTGGATCCACCACATTGTGGAAACTACGGTATGAAATGAACTAGTAGATTAGGCGCCTTTAGTAGATCAGGCCAGAAACAATCCCAGTAACAAGGATCAATAAAACTTCTAGAGAAAACTTTATAAAAAAAAAGTTAAAATTTTGGAAAATGTAGTAAATCAATTAGAAACAAGAAAACTCAAAATTAGAAGAGATAATAAGTCAATGCTTCAAATGAAAAACTTTTAGCAGTATATCTCGGAAGGATGAAACTGTCCTCCAGTTAAGCTTCAGGCACTCTTATGCATGCTTAGTTTTTTTCTGATGAATTTTCTTATGCATGCTTAGTTAAATGACTTGAATCCCCTACATGTGAAAGGTGCAATATTCAACGAACAGTCAAACATGTAATTCAAGAATGCCATTAATTTATATCTTTCATAGAAGAACTAGAAAAGACGGCGAACAAACTGTCAAAAAAACCCTTGATTTTTTTAAATTAATCAAATATTACTAAAGAATTAAAGGTAATGTTGCGAATGGCCCTGCAGAGGACGAGGTAATAAAATAAAAATAAATAAATAAGCAAATCTAACCCATTTTTATTTCAAATGACATTACTTAATACCAGTCCTGTAAAGATCACTATTTTTAAAATTTTTATTTTTATTCTTAATCTTTTTATTTATTTATTTTTTTATAGGTGATATGGTTACACTAGAAGGTGTGATTATTGATAATCAATTATCTGTAAAGAAGATAAGTCCTAAAATAACAACCATTAAGAGTGGTATTATAACTAAATGGGATGTTGCTTATGGTATAATTAGCGATTTTGCCTGCTTTACATTAGAATCCTGTGAACCTGGTTATATTCCCTTTGAAGGAGACAGGGTAATGTTTAATAATTATTGTATGAAACGGATGTTTTAATTGTGAATTTTATATTAAAAATAAATTATTTATTTTAAAATATAGATATGTTATTAAATAGATTTTTTTTGTTTGATCATGTTCGATACATGTTTTAATTTTATTTCTGTATGCATATTTGTTATGCATACTGTAATTCACACATTATTGAATTTTAATAGTATCCTGAATTGTAGAAATTGTTTAAGGAGAGGACTAGTTGAACCGTGTAAATATTCTGCACAAACCTTACGTTTGTATCAGATTTTAATACATTAAGGGCTCAGCACAACTTACATTCAATAATGTTTGATACAAAAATGTTTGATACTTATATTTAGTAAGCTATCAATTTATAAATATGGTTTGCACTCTACTATGGTTTAACTATTGCATTTCCTTCAACTTATAATTTAAATATTAGCTTTTTCCAACACTGGATTATCATAAATTTACAAAAGCTTCTAAACAAATATTAATCAATTATAAAAAAAATATTATATCTCTTAAATAATATTACTTACAATAAGATGACTGCGATAGTCAGTATGCCTAGTTTTTTGCCTCTTCTTCTCTCCAATGGACTCGCCAATTAACAGTTGAGACTGATATCTTGATATGCCCTCAAGACTCGACGATGTCCTACCGTCTGCTCAATTATTTTCAATATAGAAGCTGAGACTTTTTAAAAAAAATGTTTATTTTACAAGTAAATAAAACATAAAAAAGTCTAAATAACCATATCAGAAAGAATAGTGGTGTGGAGACGGGCTCTAGAAGGACTGAGAACAAATTACAATATTTTCTGAAGGATATATAGGAGAGAAATCTAATTCTAGGAAGGTAGATGCAAGGATTAACAGTTGACAGGCTTGGCTAGTGTTCCCACTAGCTAATTCTTAGAACTAAGATTACAATGGTCAGAAAGTCTTACAATATTATATGCAATAAGGGAAAATATACACATAAGTTTTATATATATATATATATATATATATATATATATATATATATATATATATATATATATGAGAACGCTGTTACAGTTGATCAGGTTATAATAGCAAATGTCTTGTTATTTTGGTGAACTGCACTCTTTCTAAGTGAGGAAATGTATTTCTTCTGCACTAAATATTCATTGAGTCACCCAGAGATAATTATAAAACTACAACTACTGTTACCTACTTCTACTACTGTCACTATCGATCAAATGCAGTGGAAAAATTAGTCGCAATACAGCAATTTTTTAGCTTTTGGCCTACCTCTAGATATTTGCAAAATAATTTGAAGCAAAACTTCCACTATAACTATATTATGTATTTTAGAAGTATAATAATAATAACAATAACATTTCCTATCAGTTTAAGATAAGTTGTAATGAGTGTGAGGAGGGTTTAAGGAAGGTACCTTTATCTTCACCAGCTGTCCTCACATTGAAGAAGGAGGAAGCTTAAAGGAATGGACTCTAGTCTTTGGTAGTAAAGAATAGAATAGTTTATGGAAGGTTTATGCATACCATCTGATATATATTGGGGAATTCATTATTATTCATATGTGCAACGTGCCCTAAGCATCTTTAAGGTATAGGAAGATGGCGGCCTCATTGCCCAGTACTATGTCACAGTCAGCCACAGGCCCTCCAGGTTGGCGAAATTTTTTTTTTTATCAATATCACTACCTCAACATTTCAGGGTTTGGTTTAGATGTATAACCAAACCTATTTTAATGATAGTAGGAAAGTCGAGATTCATTCCATGGGTCAGCCACAAAATAAATTTTAACCCGGTTAGGCTGGATTCGAACCGACCTTGTTAGACTCGAGAATAGTTAAAGTATACGCTTTTACACTCTCTAGAGTAACCTTCCCTAGATAATCGTCTTGGATGAGGAAGCAAGTAAGGGGGCTTTGGGGAGGCAATCTCTTCTTGTGAATTGGGGACTGTGAGGGGTATTAAAACAATTGTGAACCTCAAAGAAAAAAGCCAGACAGATTAATAGAAAAATATATAACACATCTCTAATTGATTTTAAACTAGCTCCTCAATTGTTTTATCATTAGAGAAACCTGGAGCTTTACATCAACTTCTCATTTAGTTTAAAAGTGAATAAGGTACTTGTGACTTAGCCAATCACAAGCCAACTACCTCCTTATCTGGTGTAACCTCTTCTTATCACCTGTCTCTGCTTAATTACTTGTGCGTTCAGTACAGGTCAGCTAAACAAATTGGAGGGTCTGGAAAACTGGTTGAAATAGATGAATTAATGTTGCTTTTTCGAAAAGAAAAAATCATGTAGGGAAAGTACTCTCTGAACAATGGACGTTTGGCGAAGTTTGTCGAGAAATAGATGAATGTTTCATTGTAAAAATAAAAGACAGTTTTCTGTTTTATTTTAATTTTAATATAAGTTATTTTAATTTTAGTTTAGCTTTTGCAACAAATCTATTAGAATGTATTAAAAATAATATAGGTGAGAAAACCACTATATATTCTGAATGTTGGAAAGGATACAACACCCAACAATTAAATGAAGCAAACTGCAGCCATTTCCAGGTGAATCACCGGTAAAACTTTGTCAATCCTTCAAGTGGGTTCCATACTCATCACATAGAATGGTCATGGGGCTCAGTTAAGTGGAGGAATAAAAAACATCGAGGAACCTGCGAGGCAAAACCGTGTTCCTCACTATTTTAAATAGCATTAAGCTGTTTTGTATATCTGTAGTTGGGCGAGATGAAGATAGTAGATGCCGATATACTGGAGTGGGATTAAACCTCTTTCTGAGCCATAAGTTTTAATATAGTTGGAAATAATTAAGAAGTTATATTTATTACTCATATCAATTGTGGTTATTTATATTATATGTTAAAAAATGAATCAAAACTTTAATAAAAAAGTTTTAAAAAACAACAGTTCTTAGATTTTCTCTAGGACGTGGTTAGTTTTTTTTTAAATTTAATAAATAAGAGTTTCTTTACTAGCAGCTAGCCCCTCTCTAGTGCTGTCATATCAGTAGTCAAAATTAGTTACAAAAATGATGTTCCAACACCCAGTATCTAGTCCATCCTTTCCTATCTTTTAATTACCATGCATGTTGGTCTGTTTCCCTTAAAACATTTGTCTATTCATTAATATCACCAGATCATACCCTTTTTGTAGCATTTATTTTTATTTTTTTTAGGTACTGGCGAGTCTAATCCGCATTAATGATTCGAAAGGATATATGTGGCGTGCCATTCAGGTAGTAAAAGTCTTTCAGAAAGTTGAAGGCTTTTCAAAATATGAATGTGAACTGAGGCAAGATTTGACTTCTAATCAAAATGGCATAATTATTCCTGTTTTACCAAAATTTACATTAAAAATCAACAAATCTATGGAATTCACTGTTAGTAATATGTGTATATATATATATATTTATATTTGTTTATATTCAATATTTGATAAAAAGCAAAAGCGGATTTTATAATATTCATTATATTGATACATTAAAACCTTTTAGTTTTTCAGTTAAATTGTTTCTTAAAGTTACAACTTCTCTCTGAATTTGCCATCATGCAAGTTTATTGTTTATTCCATAAATCCAGTTTTTTTGTCATTTTTAAAAATGAATTAGCTTTTGTTCAACTAATGTTCATGAAGTTTTTGATATTGCCCTCTATCCAGCAATGGAGGATAACACTGTATATTATCGCCAAGTTTTTTGTATTATGGAAAGGTAAGGAGAGGTATGGAACTGATTTAATAATGATAATACTTTATTTATTCTGGGACGAGTCCCTTTAGAATAATACAGAAGGACAGAAATGTGGGCTAAGGAGCCTCAGAGATACATAAACAAAAATGCTGAGTAATTAAATAGTCATAATAAAAAAATTATGTTACTTTTGAACTTAAATCAGTTAATAATAAAAAATTGAAAATAAAGTAAAATTAATGAAGAACGATCTAATAATTTACATACATATTTACAGTGGTATCTATTTACAATTTTATGGGAACTGGATGGATAAGAAATGATTGAACAGGCGGGATTTAAAGATAGGAAGGGTATTGGACTGATGAATGTGGAAGGGATGGAGTTCCATAGGGATAAGGATCAGATAATGAACGATCTGGCATGTTCATGCAAAAACCCTAGACTGGCTCCGACTTTTTGATGATTCACAGAGAGGTGAATCTTCTGGGTTATAAGTTAATTTCTGTTAAAATTATACCATAATTTTCTCAATGATTGTTGCACCATAAATGTAACATCTTTGGAGTCATATGTCAGCAAGGTTCATTGACATCAGTAAAGGAGGCACTCATAGTGGATCCCACGGTCAAATTTAAAACCAACGATCAGGGTCAAGACGTCAAGGTACAGGCAGAGAAAGAAGAAATTTATACAGAATGCATACCTTACCTGAAGAAAAAGTACAGAGATGAATTCGGCGAGAGAGAATACTTAGTTAAAGGGTTTGGAAGCAGGGGAAGCATCCCTCTTAGTACAAGTAATTTCTTGCAGAGGCTCGGTGTTGGAAGGAAGCAGATACAGACTATGACAGAAACAATTATTTTAGACTCTTTAGGAATCATCCATCATCACATATGTTGATCTAGGCCTTCACTTATTTGATTCTATGAACTGTTCTTGCCATGTCTGATATGTATTGAAATGGTCTGACCATAAGGGGGTGGGGTGGCCGAATGGTCTAACACCCACAGCACCGCAAGTTGCCCAGCAACCAGATAACTGAAATTATGAGAGTAAAAAAAAAGTATGAGTTAGTGTCCCTGTGCCAGAGGTGATTTTAAATTTACAGTATTATCTTTTGATTGATGAGTATGCTGTGTTATTTAGCAACTCAACACAGTTGAGCAGCAATGTTGTTGTATTACTCTTGTTAATATAGTTAAAAGGAATTTCCAATCTCAGTAAATATCTTTCTATTTATAATTAACTTTTTACAACAATACAACTACATACATGTGTTAAATAATAATAATATAAATCAATTCCCTCCAAATATATTTTATTGAGATCAGGCCCATTAACACCCCATTATTGACCCCATTAACACTCCAGCAACAATATTCACTTTATTTTTTAATAGATTAAAATTATTTTTAGTGATTTTGTTGGAATTCGTAGTATTTGAAATTAAAAATTAATTTAGTTTTTCATTTATCTTTTAATGATATTTTGCTTACAGGTTGAAATAGAAAACAGTAATAATTTTGATGTAGAACTCCTATCCATTTTTTCTAATACTGTTTATCAAACACCTCAAATATTACTTACTAGTCCTAAGAATACATGCTGTGTTATACCTCCTTTCAAGAAATTAACATGTACTTTTGAAATAGAAACAAAGTAAGTTATTTATTGACTAAATATATTTTTGGTATAATGACAAACAATAATTACCTCTATGATATCACTTCCTTACTGCCCTAGTCTGAGTTCATAAGGACATTAAACCCACATAAACAATTAACAATAATTAAAATTTAGCTTAAGAAACATTTTTCACTCATAATTCATTCATTCATGTGTGGCACGACATCCCGTTACCGAGACTGGGCCTCCTCCAAGAGCCTCCGCCAGTTGGCTCTGTCTTCTGCTGCAGCTCTCCAGTTCCGTACACCAAGCAGGGTTCTCGCATCATAGGCCACGTTGTCCAACCACCTCGTCCTCGGCCTCCCTACCCGTCTTGCGAGGTGCAGCTCCTCCATCATTATTTTCTTGGGTATCTCAATGGTGCTCATTCTGGCCACATGCCCTGCCCACCTTAGTCTGGCCAGTTTAATATAGGTGACTACGTCGATGTCTGCATAGAGAGAACTGAGCTCCCTATTTTTTCTTTTCCTCCAGACATCACCCTCCTTTACTGGACCATAAATCCTTCTGAGGACTCCTCGCTCAAACACACTCAGCTTCATCTCATCGTGTTTGGTCATCGTCCAAGCCTCTGAGCTATATGTCAAAACAGGCCGAACAAGAGTCTTGTATATGATCAGCTTGGTCTTCTTTGAGAGGTACCTACTTCTTAGGTGTCGGCCAAGTCCATAGACACATCTATTGGCAGCCGTGATCCTTCTTTGTATTTCTTGAGCCATGTCATTTTTGCTATTAATTTCAGACCCAAGGTATATAAAACTTTTCACTCTCTCAAACTTAAAAGAACCTACCTCAAATGGAGAGTTCAGATCCACCTCACCACCAACTCTCATATACTTAGTTTTCCTCTCGTTGACTTCTAGACCAAGTGGTCTTGCAGCTGCTTCAAGGCCTATAAACGCTTCTCTGAGAGCCTGTTCAGACCTACCTATTATGTCAATATCATCAGCAAAACCAAGAACCTTTTTCACTCATAATTATATACTAAAACTTTTTTTAACTGGAATTAATAGAGTCCATTATCCTTATAATTATAATTGAGTCACAAAAATTTTAATTATCACAGAATTTTTAATATATTTTATGAAGTATGTACCTAATTTCTTTAATATAATTAAATCTATGTATAGGATTGTTAAAAATTAAAATAGTTTTGGTGTAGTTTATAGATTATGGTATATTTTGTCAGATGTGGTTTATGATGAATTTATTTGGTAATTTTATTATTGTTCATTTTTACACCGAAAAGAAAAAGGATTATCATTATAAATAAAATTATGCATTTTATAACAATATTTTAGTTCATATCATTGATTTTTTAATTTAATAGTAAATCTTTTCTTAATTAACTTTGGTTCATTTCTTTAGAATATGACAAAAGATATGCTCAATGTATAGTAGTTTTTTCTATGAATAATGCTTAATGTAAATGTTTGTTAATGCTTAATAATGCTATGTTTGTGTTAGGATCGATTTGGAACTATGAGGCAATATAACCATTTTTATTTTATTGAGGAAGGAGATGATCAGGGGTAGCGGTCATAAAAAACTTAACATGAAAAATTATTTTATTTTAAGCCAGCATTTTTCTTTTCTTATAATTATTTAGGATTAAAAAAAAATTACCTTATCATTCTCGATTTTATTACCCAAATCACTATTTATTTATTTAGATCATCATAGTATTTTTTTTTTGTAGTAGTAGTAGATTAAGCTTCACGTTCTACAGGCAAAGATGGAATGGCACATGCATGCACACAATAATTTTCTAACCATATTTAAATTTGTCTGTGTTGCTGTGAAGTTTGAGTCATGCTATGGTACCTTTGCCTGTGTCTTTATTGTTAATTCCGGTCAGCAAACAATGGAGAGTGTATGGAAGTTAGCAAATCCTTCATAATACTATGTCCTTCAATAATTGACAGTAGTTGAAATATACACCCTAGTAATTAGAACCAGAAAATGTTTTTTATCTTAAAAGTTTTTACAAATATATAGCCAATTAACTAATTATCTATTTGTTTTATCTTTTGCCAATCTATTTGAAGTAATTGTACAATGAAAAATCCAAAATGAGTCCAAGTAAAATTTGTGAAATTACATCCTTTGGTGTTTATGATTGAATAATTAACACAAGTCTTATTTTTGTTATATACTAAGAAAATTGTAGCTCTTCTAAAGAATCAATTTCTCTGTCAAATGAATTGTAGCAAAGAGGCTTCAGAGATGATATGGCCAGTCAATAGATGAATTTCTACAACAAACCATGATGAATTTTATTTGAAGTATCAATTACAAATTTTCTCCATGAAACATTTATATCTGTTTGAAAATAATATTTCAAAGTCAATGTTAATGGTTTTTTATTAATTTTGAATTTGCTATTATCATGTATTTCATCAACCTTTCCAACTTATGATGGTTCTGTGTAACAGTTAATTGTATAATTGTTTTTTCTATTATTATAATTTTTTTTTACTTCCTACTAGAAATTAATTGTCAATTTTTACCAGAACACATTCAAATTGAATAAGAATTCAAAATTTAAATTTTCTTTTGTTTATTTGATAATGAATGCAATTATCCAAGAATGATCATAGTTGCTCTATGCCATATAGTATTTACTTTGTTCACTTTTAAATTTATGTTTTCAGATATATAGGACATTCAGCTATAGAATATATATGGGAGTTCGCTGGATTCAAAATACCCAGAATGTTCACGTTGGAAGTTACAAGTACAGAATTGAAAGAAATGGAGTTGAAGGAATCAAAAATAGACATTCATTATCCTCAATTGAAGATTTCAGGATTGTAAGAAAACTTTGAGTTGATTTTTTTTCTTTCTTTATTCACTTATCTTTATTATATTATTGGCTTGAAAATTAGCTTGTTTAACCTTGTTCACACTGTTCTGTTATACCATAACATTAGTTATTTTCAGAAGTTATTAAAATTTGAATAAATATATTGTTTTTTACTTTTAAATATTTATTATTATAATAATTATTTTTTACTTGTTCCGGTCAGTTCTGTATGTGGGTTAGATTTTAATAGCCAACCCATACTCTGTTTTCTAGATATATTCATTAAAAAAAAAAAAAAAAGTGTTTTAACTGAAAATCTGTCACGATTTCAGCTTGACAACAGCAGCAAAATATGAAATAATCCCACAGTAAATACTGTTATTATTTGTTGTATATAGTTGTTCAGACAATGAAGTCAGTATATAGAGACTTGGTAACCTTATCGTAGTCATATTGCCTGCTGAGTGGATTTGTCAGTCAGTTTTTCCAGTTAAACTACAGCCTCTGTTGGGGCTGGTCCATTCTCTTGACTTAGACAAAGTCAAGGCCACACAGACAGATTTTTCAATTATTTTTCCCCTCATTTATTTATTTATTTTTCTCTTCTTTTTCATAGGAAATGTGAATATGTTTATCAAGTAATATCTACTAAAGCCTATGCCACTAAAATCCTTGAAGGGTTTTGGGTTCAGTACTTTGTAAGGACTGAACTTACAATTATGTTTTATTTTTATAGAAGAGAAGGATGGTTGGGTCGATCAGTCAAATTAAAATGGTAAAAATAAATAATTTTATTTATTTTTACATTCATCGACGTTTCAGCCCGAAGTTCAGGCCTTCATAAAGGCTAGGAAAAGAACCAGACAACAAAATAGGTGTAAGAAACCATAAACAATGAATAATACAGAATTAAGATAAAAAAAGGTGAAAGGTATAGATTAATAATTTTAAGTAGAAAAATTTAACATAAAATGAAGTAAATAGAGAATGAACATTAAAGTAAAACAAAGTAGGTAGAATGATATCAGTAACAGAGAACTAAGAAATAAATAATAATAATGGTAACAAAGCATGAACCAATGAAATAAGCATAAGTGTACATTTCCTCATACACATTTTTATCACACATCTTAATGTTCAATTTATATCTATTATTTCCTTATACAAGTTCGTATTTCTTTTCTCTGTTTTACACTTTATTCTAGATTACCATTTTCATTTCTTATGTTACCTCATATTTTATTATGCTTATTTCATTGGTCTGTGCTTTGTTACCGCTATTATTATTTATTTCTTAGTTCTCTGTTACTGCTATCATTCTACCTACTTTGTTTTACTTTAATGTTCATTCTATCTACTTCATTTTATGTTAGGTTTTTCTACCTACAATTATTAGTCTATATCTTTCACCTTTTTTTATCTTAATTCTGTATTATTCAATGTTTATGGTTTCTTATGCCTATTGTTATCTGGTTCTTTTCCCAGCCCTGATGAAGGCCTGAACTTCGGGCTGAAACGTCGACGATTGTACAAATAAATAAAATTATTTATTTTTACCATTTTAATTTGACTGATCACCCCAACCATTCTTCTCTTCAATTATTCAATACAGTCAACCATAAACCCACAATTTTATTTTAACATTATGCTTGTAATCATTATTATAAAGATGTAGTGAAAAAGCGGAAGTATAGAGAGATTGAGATATATATGATATTGTATCGAGATATATTGTATAATCTATTTAACTTGCCGAACTTTTCTCTTTTTGCATTCATTTCATGCCTCCATTATCTTATTTCATTCAAAACAAACAGAAGAACAAATTCTTTTTCCTTAGAGGAGCTGCTGGAAATGTTCTAATTGATTCAAGGAAGGATGAATTGGAAAAATCACACAATACCATTTCAGTCCATGGCAGAATGAGGCTATTTCCTTCTATTCTGAGAGCCCATTTAAAAAAATCGACATTATTTTATGAAAATTTTAAATGTGTTTTTAAAAAATATTCATAACATTTATATTTAAAAAATGGGTCTGCCAGGATCCTGCTACCTGAAAAAATGGTGGCTACTTAAAAAGGCTAATTTTTTGAAAAAAAAAAGTATTATCTGGTGACGATTGATTTCCATTTTAAACAATTCTAGACTACTTCTTGAATCAAATAACGTTAGTCTGCCGGCTGATACCTGCTAACTCTGCCCAGCAGAAACTTTTTCAATAACTGCCATTTTGGGATACAAAAGTGTAATTATTTGATGACTATTAATTTCCATTTTAAACAATTCTAGGCCCATTCCTGAATCAAATGACATTAGTTTGCCGGCTTATCTATGATACCTGTGTCTGTCAAAAACTTTTAAAAAACCATAATTTTGGAGCTTAAAAATATTATTATTTGATGACAATTAATTTATATTTTAAAAAATTCTTGAACACTTCCTGAATCAAATGACGTTAATCTACCGGCTTATTTATGCTACTTGTGGCCAGCAGAAACTTTTCAAAAAGTGCTATTTCGGAACCTAAAAATGTAATTATTTAACAACGATTAATTTCTGTTTTAAACTTTTCAATAATGCCATTGGGGAACTCATCAAAAATGTTATTGATCTCTGTTTTAAATTATACCAGTCTTATCCCTGATTCAAAATACATCAGTTTGGCATATAATCTATGATTGCTGAATCTCTTTGGCAGAAATGTTACAATTCTGATATGATGAAGGTGCCTACAACAAATTTCAAATTAACAAAAAATAGCTTTAATCTGAATTTCATTTATGTTATAAATGTTCAGTAATTACCATGGTTTGAAATCGATAATTATTATTTCCACAAAATCATGTAATAATTATTATATTTGATTTTTAATTTTTTATATTAACACTAGATTTATGGAATCCATACATTTTTTTAATTTTAACTCTTAAGCCTTTATTCAAGTTTTAGTTTTTGACCCTTCAGCAGAAAATCATTATTAGCTCTAAAATTTAAATTAAAAATCAGCTTTAGAAACTGTATTTTAAAAAAAATAATTCAGTTAAAGTAAGGTATTAACAGATTTTGGTGTAAAACGTAAATAAATACTTTTATTTAGAAACCCATTATTAAAGAATTGCAAAGTTGATTTTCATTGATACCATTATTATGTTCTATTGTATGTTAATTGAGTTTATTGTGATAAGATTTTATGATAGTTATTTTTTCTTTTGTTCCAGGGAAATATTAAACCAGACTTATGGGGACAAATTACCTGGCCAAAAGAAATATTTCAAATCTTCTATATTCCCTGTCCAACTTGGGCAGTATTCTTTACCAGAGAAAATCCTTCTTGCTGCTTTACCTCAGAATAATATGTTAGTAAAGTTGAATTAAATAAATTCTTTATTTAAACTAAAAATATTTCATTATTTTTAAACAAAGTTTTACATTTGACATTTGAACTTCAAGTGAGATTTTTAATAAAATCTATAGAACAAAAAATGGTCTTTTTAATACAATCCAAATGTAAAAAATTAAAGTGAATTTAAACACTTGCCGTCATTTTTATGATTTTATTTCTTTCTTTTCAATTTCCTTTCAGTCCGATGCCCTTCTGCAGATGTGTGATTCTGGGCATGTGCAATGGCTTCGTAAGATTTGCCAATTGATGCTCTGTTAAAATTCTCTGGATTATCAGTTCACCCTTAGTGACCTGGTCCCTAATGACAGCGATGATACTCAGGTTTCTGCCCTAGTTAAGTTGCTGCTTCATCGTCAACACTAAGAATAGGAATTCTTTTTAATTCTGTGATCTCAGACAGCAATCTTTTGAGTCATATTATTTCTTATGCTGCTTCACTAGCTACAACTGGGATCTTAGATCTTGCTACAGATGTCTCTCTCTGACTCAGCCACGGGATAGCACCTCTTACGTACAGACATACCACTCCTGAGGTTGACCTTCCAGTGATTTTGTCTCCTAAGTCTGTGTCGCCATATCCTTCCAGAACTCTCATTTTATAATTAGATCGGACTTCTTCTTATCATCACCATCTTTTCTTGCTTTGACAGCAGGTTCAGGAGAAACTACAGTTTTTATCCCCTTTAATGCAGCTGTTTCTCCTAGAAATGGAAAACTCAATTCTTTTAAGTGAATTTGCAACGATTCAGTATTGTGGTGAATTGATTCTTATGAACGGTGAATTGATTCTTATCTTTGATTGATTCTTTTCATTATATTTTTTCTTTCATTTTAAAAGATTTTTTTTTTTAAAACAATAACATTCTCACCCTTATGGTTATTCAGGCAAAATAATAATAATAAAAGGGTTTATTACAAAAGATTCACCTCAAGTTGTCTTAACAAAATGGGTTGTTTTAAAACCCTGTCACCTAAAAGTACTCATGTTTTCAGCAAAAATTACTAAAATAAATAATTGAAAAGCTTTAATTTATTTATTCTCTCTATTACCTGGGATGTATTATTATAAACTTAACTACTATCATCTAAAATATTAATGGAAAACAAAAAACAATAAACAAACAACATATTTGCTTATTATCTATAAATTATGCTACTTCTCACAAGGTATGTTTGAATAACAATAAAGGTAAAAATGAACTAAAAAATAATAAATGTATGGAAAATTTGTTTAAATACGCAATATTGTGGGAGCCATTTTTCACACTAAAGCATTCCACCCCAAATACCTTATTTATGTCCACATGCCTTTCCAAATTTTCTACCACAAGGGCCTTTTCTCACATCATTACCCGCTGTCTTTAAAATGTTAAATTGGTTTCAAGGCCTCCCCTCATAAAATTAACATTGTGATATAAATGTTTATTTTGTACAAATTCCTCTTTCTATAAAAATGTTTTAATAAAATTAAATAAAATTAAATTAAAATAAAATAAAATAAAATGGAATGAATAAGTTATTAACTAGTTTATACATTACGTATTAAAAAAAAAAAAGAAATATTGGCAATGTTGACAGCAGTCATTTGGAGAATAATGTGTTACTTATTGTTTCTTTTAGGAACTTTGACGATCTCCTTATTCAGATTGAACAGGTTATACCTTGTTTGAAGGAAGAATTATCGCCTAAGACATATTTACAATTCTTTAGTGGTTTGTTGTTTCTTGAAGAAGCAGAACTATTGAAACAGGTATAATTTTTCTTCTATTGTTGCATTTCTAAGATGTTAACATTTATCTTTTTACTTTTACGTTACTCATTTTGGTTACATATACATTTATGCATTATATTGTTAGATTAATATCATTTTTTTTCTTGTGTGAATATTTGTTTGGGGATATCCTTTTTTTATTTATAATATTTACAATTGTTCATTATATTATTTCACGGAAGGCAGTGGATCAACTGATGCGAAGGTTGTGTTCTCAACTCGTCTCTCAGTTTTTGCCTATTTTTCAGCGAAATCTCTCTGATTATTCACTGAATATAGTTCAAGTGTACACCAGAGCAGTTGATATTGACTGTTTGATATATATATATTTTTTTTTTTGCCCCTTTTCTTCTCTTATGATATGCGGCTTGTCACCAAGTGATGTGATAAAGAAGCCATACCTCAAGAGAGAAATCGTCCAGTGCCACAATTGTCAGTTGTATGGCCACACGAAGACTTATTGCCACCACTTGCCGCGTTGATTGAAATGTAGTGAACAACACAAATCAGCAGAGTGCACCAAACCGATACAAGATCCTGCAGTTTGTGCCCTATGCCTAGAGGGACGCCCAGCCAACTACAAAGGCTGCCAACTTATAAGAACCTCAAATCCAGATACCAAGAAAAGAACCTTCTAGAATTGTTAATAATAATGTCTCATTCTCAGAACTGCTTGGAGGTAAGAACCCAACTAATAAATGTAAAACTCTACCACAGCAACTACCTCAATATCCTGTTCATCCTAACAAACCTAACCATCAACAACCTCATATTCCTCCTCCCTTAAATGCCACAGATATCACCAATTTGTTGTCATCATTCCTCATTGAATTCAAATCAATGGTTATCCCATTCATATCACTCCTTACAAATCTTTTATTTCATCTCATCCCTCCTGTGAAAAATCCTTAAATGACTCCCATCAAACACATATCTATTCTCCTTTGGAATGCGAATGATGGTAGAAATCACGTTGACGATTTAACAGCTTTACTACTAGACAAGAACATTGACGTAGCCCTATTTACAGAAACTCGACTGACCTGAAAACAGCATTTAAAAATTCTACAGTACATAACATACCGTACTGACCATCCTGATGGTAGAGCACATGCCGGTACTGCTGTGATCGTACACCTCTCTCATCACTTAGTCCCATTACCTAATCAAGATTTCCTATAATCAACCACTATTGTAATCAAAACCTTCTCCTTTCTGGTCACCCTTGCATCAGCATATTGCCCTCCTACCAGATCCATATCCAAAGTCCAGTTCAGTTTTCTCCTCAACTCCATAGGTCATCATTTCTTCCTGGGTGCAGACTTGAATGCCAAGCATCAAGAATGGGGTTCAAGAGTCACGACTTCTCGTGGCAGAACATTGCTGTTTACACTCAAATCCCAACGTTTCAGTCTCCTTTCACCCAACTTACCAACCTACTGGCCCATTGATCCTAACCGCAATCCTGATATCCTTGATTTTTTCATCCACAGTGGTTTATGTCCCCTCAATCATTCCCTTCTTCATCTTGACGAACTTACCTCAGATCATAGTCCATTAATACTTCAATTATTAATAGCTCCTATTCCTAAACCCTCTCCACCATCCTTCATCAGAGGTACAGTTAACTGGAAACTCTTTCATCAAATCCTTTCCAATAAAATTGACCTCAGAATAACCCTGAAAACCCCATAAGACTTTGATAATGCCCATACATTCCTTCACCACCATTATTCAGCAAGAAATTTGGACTGCTTCCTCCCCAAATCTCTCATCAAAAATTCCTAAGAAAAATAATTTACCTCAATACCTGCTAGACCTAATTCACATCAAACACCGTGCCAGAATATTATGGCAACATTCAAGACATCTCGCCGATCGCCTTATAATTATTATAATAAACGATTAAAGCAGGAATTGGCTACCTTCAAGTCCCAATCCTTCAACTCCTACCTTACTTTCCTCTATGTTCATGACAATTCTCTGTGGAAGATCACCAACAAAATCCTAAAATCCCATCATATTTCCCATCCCTTCCATCAATGCGATGGCTCCTGGGCAGCGTCTGATGAAGACAAAGCTGAGGAATTCACCAGACACCTCTCCAGAGAACATTTACCTCACATCTGGAATCCAACCCCACCCGTACCACATCAGTAGAAGAATTCCTTACTTCACCCATTCCACTTTCCTTACTCCCTAAAGCAGTTAATCCTTCTGAGTTCAAACATCACTTACAAAAACTTCCTCTTCTTAATTCTCCTGGATACGATCCTTCGACAACTTCCTCCTAAAGCTGTTATATTTCTCATTTACTTATATAATACCATCCTAAGAACCACCCACTTTCCTTTTTTGTGGAAACATTCCACTATTACCCTGTTTCCGAAATCAGGCAAACCTTCCAATACTTCGACGCCCTATAGACTCAGAATAATGAAAACTCTATTTAAATGGCATTGGTCATCGGAGTCCACTCCTGGGATTGCTGGTCATTAATGAGGATACAATCAACAGATAGAGACACTGAATAGGGAATTTAGTTCAGCTTTGCTGTCAAAATATAGCAATATACTTTGAAACTGATGTCTCCGGCGTCCAGTGCCGTTAGGAAATTCATAACTAGAGTTGGTCGCTGGGGACCGATATTATCGGATTATCGAAAGAGATTTAAGAGATATCATGCTCAGCAGCTAACGTGTTAGAATACACTGTATTTTAAAAATACAAAATACGTGTATTTTATATACAGTATTTTAAAATAACTTTTTGTCCACGTCTGCTGTAAAGTATAAAATTTCCCATTAGTTTTTCAACTCAGCTCATATTTGTAGTGAGTGTTTAATTTTTACATTAAGTGTTGTAAATTTATTTTATGGTATGGAGATCTTCCTCCCCACCAACCCATCGAACCACAACTTTGAGACACAGTGAGATATCGCCAGTATCAGATTTGAATACTGTTGCATATTTGCCAAGTGATATAGACATGCTCTGGTTCGTCCTTTCTCCAAAAACCAAGAACAGAGCTGCAAATCATTATCAGTGCAACAATTAATCTCATTAATGAGTTTGTGTTTCCCTAAACTATCAATATTTACATGATAATTCTTTGTTAGGAATTCTTTGACCTGAGTGTCAGAGTCCATTGCAAGCATCCCTGTCTTCCTCAACTCTTTGAAATATTTTCTAATGTCCTTCATGGGTGTTTATCTTTCTCTCACGTTACTACATATTATATCTAACTCCAATTTAGAGACTATAACCCTTAACATAATAGTAAACAAGCATTAATATTATAAATTAAACAAAAAATATGATTTTTGTATGTTATATATACAATTTTATACTTTAGGGATTCCTAAAGTTATGTTTTTCACTGGTTAATGATTTTGGTGGTACATGTTTATTTATGATATCTTCAGTATAAGTAATGTGTTGATTATTGCTTACTTATCACCCTCGCTGACATAATAGAAAATATTTTTATAATTTTAATTTATTTGTAAGAAATTTTAGTTTGCTTGAAGATTTTATAATTATTAACAAATTGCTATTTTTTTTATATATGTTGTCAGATTGGGGAACTGTTCATGGAAAGGGCCCATTTCCGAAAAGTTGGAGATTTTTTAGTTTTAGATATGCCTTTATACTCTGTATATGCCAACAAACTTATACCTGGTGATAAAGCCATAGCTTCTTTACCTTGGAATGACCAAAAAACCAGTAATTATCATTTCCTTTTATATAGTGTATTATTAGGTTATTTTATTTTATAACTTCTAATGATTGTTCATTTTAGGTGATTTTAAATTTGAGGGTATAATCCATCGAATTTCACAAACTGAGATATGGATTCAGTTTTCAAAAGAATTCCACAACTCTTATAAACAGGGGACTGAATACTCGCTGTCTTTTATAGTATCCCGTGTTTCGTTACGTAGGATGCACCAAGCTGTCAATTTAGCTAGGAAGTTCCTTGGAGACCAATGGTTATTCCCTACTGGTGTTCGAACATCTTCTCCTCGATTAATATTTGATAAAGTAAAGTATTATCTAATTAATGTTAGAACATATTAGGTCCTTCCAGAACAGAAGGTCCTGTTGGTAGAAATCACCTTAACAATACTACACGGATTTTTCTGTGTTTCTGGTAGTATGGTTGATTCTATCACCAAAATTTTGCTACATTTATATGTAAAAATGTTCACTATACCTCCTTTCCTCTTCTCTTTAACCAGTCTCCTTTTTATCCTATCAAGGCATGATAAAATATATAACTACCTAGATGCCCTTACTCGTGAAAAAAATCTTACCTGATCTCGACACTTCATTTTATCAGTTCCTGATTCCATATTGCAAGGTATTTTTATGGACCTTTTTTAAGAAGTTACATTTAACAGTTTCTGTTGAACTTTTTAGGAAAAAGTTCTTAAAATAAAAGTTCTAAGGAACTTTTTTGTAATAAAGTTCCAGGTTTATTTAAAACGTTGAACTTTTATATATTTAAATTCTTTAAAAAAGTGCTTAAAAAGTTAAAAACGGCAACTAGACGTTTCAGGATGGCATTAGAGAATTCTGTCGGATTGAAGAAATGATAAATTTGGACGTCATCGGCGTATAGGTGATATTGACAGTGTATGATAGAGGAAGAGAAGTCATTGATGTAGATGGAAAAGAAGGTGGGGGATAATGAGGAACCTTGTGGGATGCCTCTGGACAGAGGTAGAGAAATTGATTGATTGTTATTAGGAACTACAACGTACTGTGAGCGATCAGTGAGAAAGGATTGGAACCACTTAAGGGCACAAGATGATAAGGAAATATTTTTAAGTTTGTTTAGGAGGATATTATGGTCAACTGAGTCGAATGCTTTAGAGAAATCAAGAAGGATCAGGATGGTGAGTTTCTGTTGATATCTATGGCTGTGTGGAGATCTTGGGAGATTTTAATGAGGGCGGAATGAGTGGAGTAGTCTGGTCTAAAACCAGACTGGAAGCAGTTCAAATGTTTATTTTGTTCGAGATATTGGGATAGTTAAGATTGTACTATTTGTTCTAAAGGTTTGGAAAGGTTAGATAACAGGGAAATTGGACGGAAATCATTAGGGGTTCTGGGGTTAGAGATTTTGTTCAGAGGACGAACAAGAGAGGTTTTCCAGGTGCTGGGAAAAGCGGAACTTATAGATAAGTGAGAAATTATAGATATGATAAAGGACTGGGAAAATGGATGGAAGCGAGGATTTAATTAATTTAACTGGGTTATTATCTGGTCCGAAATTTTTGGTTTGGGATTTACAAATGGATTTAAAGAGGTCGTCTGGGGTAATATGCGAAAAGAAAAAATGATTGGGATTAAAGGGGGGATGTATGAGGGGTGGAGCTGGTGCTTGGACAGAGGGATCGGATGAACAGGAGTCAAAATGAGTGTTGAGTATGTCAGCTGAAATAGAGGTAGTCTGGGTTTGGGTGGATTTTCCTAAGGATAATTTATGGAGAATTGTCCACACAGCTTTGGAGTTTGGTGTGCTGGATAAGAATTGTTGGTAATAGTGGGATTTGACATCATCATTCGTATCATGGCGTATCATGGATTGCGTACTGTTTCAAAGCAGCTTGAAATTCATGTAATCTTCAGGGAGTCGAGTGCGCTTAAACCTTTGTCTTGCTGCGTCTCTTCGTTGGATACAATTTTTTATCGCAGGCGTCCACCAAGGGGCTGGAGGGGTACTTGATTGTACTGACTTTATGAGGAGCATGGCGTTCTAGGATAATGTGCAATTGATTGGTTAAGGTTTCTACCATAAAATCAACGGAGTTAGAAAAGTATATGGAGTCCCATTGGATTACGTCAAGATCGGGCATCAAAGTTTCGGATGATAGGAGATTAAGGTTTCTGAAAGATATAGATAGGAGACTAAATATAGGAACAGGAAGGTTATAGGAGATCTGTATGAGATCGTGAGCAGACAGAAACGGAACCGGGTGCTGTGATGAGGCGAGGAGTTTATCAGGAGAGTCAATAATGCAAAGATCGAGCCAAGAGTCTGAGTATTGGGTGTGATGGGTAGGGTTGTATGGAACTATATACAGATTAAGAGATTAGAGGAGGTTTGATAAATAGGCTTGGTCAGAGGAAGGAAATAATAGGTTGGTATTGAAATCTCTGAAAAGAGCAATATTGGAGTAGGAAGGACTCAGTTCGTAGAGGTTGGTCTCGAGTGTTTCATCAAAGGAGATTCTAGGAGGTCGGTAGATGACACCAATGAGCAATGAATATGAGGAGGTGGATATTTCAGCAAAAAGATATTCGATATGTGAGGAGACAGAGAGAGGTGACAAAGCAAGGATTTTGGATTTCAGGCTATCATGGACAAAAATGGCTACTCCGCCTCCGATTCTATTTTCTCTATCGTGACGGAGTAGGGTATAGTTAGGGAGTGAAACTTGAGAGGATGTGACTGTGGGTTTTAACCACTCTTTATTTCATCACTTCCTCCTAAATTTCATCACCTAAACTCACATATCGACTCTTAGTTTTCCACTACCTTTACTATGGCTGTATAATGCATTGTGATCTCTCAGTGGATTTTGTGAACAGACTAAGGAGAATTATGAATAGGTTAGAATGAATCGTTAATGAGATCCCAAGTCGCTCCTTTGTTTCCCCCTATTATGCTCAGTTCGCTTGGCTCTTCTCCTCCTTCAGAAGACAACACTTCCAAGGCAAATTTCATTATCAATTGATATCCCTTACTGTGACCTATGATCTCCTCCAGTTCAAGTCCTCTATTCACTCTCTTACCACAATATCTTGACCCTCTGACCTTTATACCCATTCTCATAAATCTGTTTCATTTCAAAACTCCTTTATTGCCTGGTCCACTATTTTTTGAAATTCTTTCTTATATGATTTTTCTTTCTTTATTTTATTTGTTTAAAGAAATATGAATACTTATTTCATGTCATGATGAGTTCTAGTTGGTATCATTTTTACTGTGTATAAGAATATTAATTTACAATTTTAATTTATTAGTATATTTTGGGATCATTCTGATTGAAGTCATTGTTGTTAGTCTTAAGACTGTCAATTCTGACTGACTGTGTAGGCTCTGGTTAATACTCATACATTCTACCATTATTTTAAGATAAATTTATTGACAGGTGGTATAATTATATTTTTCAAGTAAATAAAAAATAGATAACTAAAAAAAATTGAATCCACTCATCCTTGGAAATTTTATTTGGTTTGAATCATAGAATTTTTTTTTACTGAAACCTAGACGCTCAAACGTTGGATCACTGCCAGGTGAACAACAGGATGTAATAAGGAAATGAAAGAATGGAGATTATAAAAAAGAAATAATGAAAAACTTGTGAATGAATTAGATTGTTCCATTCCTAAATAATGACCAAAAGAAGGGATCAAGGAATGATATAATGAATCTGAGAGAAATAACAAACTTCGAAATGAGTTTGAATGTCTCCTTCCTGGAATGGTTCCTCATTTCATTCCATCATGAATGGTTCCTTTCTTCGTCTCTTAATCTTTTTGTCAGAATATCAGATATCAGTGTTTTAGTATAATTTTCTTTAGAATATTCCATTTTTTGAACTGATATCTTATAAGCTATAAGCATCATATGCCTACAATACTTTGTTATACTTAGTTTCTAATCTTGTACCATATTTAGAAGAATGATTTACATGCTTATTCAGTATTGTGGGAAGTCATTATTGTTATTTATTATGGAAGTCGTATTGCTATAATTTCAATATAAGAATTAAATTATTTTTTTTATCAAACATTTTTCTAAGCCTTGTTTAGCTATTAATGAATACTTATTAAGTTTATTAATATTTTCCTTATAGTTATTAGATTTATTATTGAAGGAAGTTAGTCGACTGTTCTACATATCATGGGTGATAAATATTCAGGATGCAGTCTTTTTAAAAAAAAAAAAAAATTATTTATGCCAACATTTCAACTTAAACATGTGGGTCATCTTCAGGGCTGAAAATTTTTAAAAAATACAATCAGAGATATAATATTATACAACCGATATTTTTTTCATTAAAAAATATGTTGACGACCTTTTATTAATCCTCAACCCTGACACTATTCCAAACATACTTTCTGCATTCAACTCATACCATCCTCGACTCCGTTTTACCATTGAAATAGAATCAAATAATTTCCTCCCATTTCTTGATTTCCTCATTTCCAGAAATAATGATAATACCTTATCCACAAATTGGTACACCAAACCTACCTACTCCAGCCGTCTCCTAAACTATTTTTCTCAACACCCATACCACCAAAAAATCAGGGTAGCTAAAAACTTGATACACCACAGTCTAACATTAACTGGCAAATATTATTTGTCTAACCATTGTATGCTTTTAATCAAACTATGTTATATTTATATTGATTGGCACCTCTTGCTTATGTTCATTTCATTACTAGCCAATGGTCAAATTTTTGTAACCATGAGAAATAATACAAATATTGTACACATCTGAAATATTTAGTCAGTAAATTATTTACATTCTACAAACAGAAATGTTACCTCCCTTCCCCTCTGATTATGTTTACCTACCTTTTGCTATCTGAAAAAGAACAACTGGGAAATCCTCCCTCCCTCCCCTGACCTTTTCACTTACCTACCAAATGTGTCAGTACTTGAACACTCTCAATGCTCAAACCATGGTTAGTAAGAGAAAATATTACAAATTTGCATAAATGGATTATATGCATTATTTTTTAATTTTTAGTTTGTATAATTATTTACATATTTAACTATTAATATTAGTTAAGATTCATGTACCATCAATCACTATAGTTTATTATTTACCATTATCGGTCTTATAATATTATATCTCTAATTGTATTTTTAAAAAATGTTCAGCCCTGAAGATGACCCACATGTTTGGGTTGAAACATTGGCATAAATAAAAAATTATTATTTTTTTTTTAAAAAGACTGTATCCTGAATATTTATCACCCATTATTAGATTTATATTATGTTGTTTTAGAAATATCATTTTGACTTTTTTTAGTTTCCTACAACTGAAGTAGGTGTTCAGAAAAACAAATCATACTCTAAGGTAAATTGGAACAGGCAGGGAAGTGGATATGGAAACAAATGCTCTATTGAGAATTTGATTGATGCTGATATTGTTCCTAGAAATATTGATGAAATAAACTGGTAAAAATATTAATAATTTTTATTTCTAATTTAGGAAAACTTCATAGTTATACAATGTAAGTTATTAATTTTAAGGTAAACTTGATGTATGGAATTTAGCTGTGTATTGATTCACTATAATTTGTACCTTAACTTAGTATATTTTAGTTGATGATAACATATCTATATTTGATGAAAATTAATAGTAATCATCTGACCCTACAAAAGTTATAAAGGCCTCTTGTAGCAAATATAATGTGACTATATATAGGATTAAATTATAATATAACTCTATGATCTGTAATACGCCTCTAGTAGCAACTATACTATTGTTTCCAACATTGCATTTCCTAGCCATCTAACCTCTTGGGCACCTGTTATCTCAACTTTTGCAAGGAAAGTTCCAAGTTGGTGTAAGTATGCAACATTCCAAATAGCTACTCGTTAGTAATTTTGGTTTAAGGAGAGAGATCAGCTTACATACTCTGTGGAAAGCTGCATTCCCAAAGTCTACTTCGTCCAGTACAGCTACCTAGAAAAGCTGAACCTAAACAGTGATTCATGTTGGTTGGCTATCCTAATGACTATTATTAACAAACTTAGGAGGTTCTCTCATTTCAATTTTTGTATACAAAAACTTAAGAAAATAATATATACATTTTGTTTTGTTTTATTAAATAAGTGAATAAAATATTTGCAAAAAGTATGTGAATTTTATTTATTTTATCATCACCATCATTATCATCCATGGCATTACAACTCCTGCAGAGTCAAGGCCTCCTGCAGCTTGGTCTGCCAGTCTTCTCTATTGGTTGCTGCCGCTCTCCAATAGCGGATTCCCAAAATGGACCTAGCATCTGCTGTCACTCCATCAATTCATCGGAGCTGAGCTCTTCTCAATCTTCTTGTCTCATAAATCCTTTAGTCTAGGACCATCCTAGGAATCTGATTCAGGGTCATTCTATTGATCTCTGTTTGCCTGTCTTTATCCACATTTACTTGTGAACCAAGGTAGACAAATTCTTTCACACTTTCAAATGAAAATCTTTCAGCCATAAAGTGTGATTGGTGGTGCACATCCAGTTGTGGGTCTGCATGCATGTATTTGATTCATTAGCCTCTAAACCCAATCCAACTGCTGCTTTCTGGAGACTAATAAAATTATTTTATAAATGTGTAGGGGTTCTTTGAACTTATAGCTATTACTATTTCTTATAAGTATTCCTATTTCTTTTAGAAGATCCTGGTACAGCTCGTTTCTCTTTATACTATCATAGGCCATTCGAAAGTCCATGAACAGGTGGTATGTGTGGATAATTTTATTTTATTTATAGAAGAGAAGAATGGTAGGGATGAACAGTCAAAAAAAAAAAAAAAAAAAAAAATATGATTATTTATTTTTACTTTTTTTTTTTTTTTTTTTTTTTTGACTGATCACTCCAACCATTCTTCTCTTCAATTATTCACTACAGTCAACCATCAATCCACAATTATTTTATTTATACTTTATATTTAATTTTATTTATTTATGCTTGACATTTTGTTTCACTGTAGGATTTTATTTATTTTTTATTTTTAGCAATATGTTGAGCATTCTATGTTAGAAGTTAGGTAAATATTTGTTACTATTCAAAATAAACATTTTATCAGAAGTTGACCAAATATAACAGTTTTCGGTTCCAATTTTCATTTAAATATAATCCAATAAATTGATGATAAGCTCCTTGAATTTTTTCTTGCCATATTCTTGAACACACCCTGCTGTATACACTACCTGGGATGGCTTTTGATTAGACCTCTTGATCTTCTATGCTTTTGAAAAGTTATTACAATTTATTAGTTTATAAATAATAAGAGTAAAGTTCAGATAATAATAATAATAATAATAATAATAATAAGGCTTAGCGAACCCGAAAGTTCGATGCCGACACCACCAATCGCTTGTTACACACCTCCCTCCACCGTTCGCCGTCCAAACCCAGTCCCTTCAGATCGGCTTTAATGCAATCTTCCCACCTTCGCTTCGGTCTACCCCTCGGACGCTTACCATTCGGCACCGCACATATTAACCTTTTAGGAATTCTCTCGTTACTAAGCCCAACAACTTTACAAGCCCATTTGATTCGCCGCGATGAAATTACCTCAATTATATTACCCGGATACAGCTCACGCAATTCGGCGTTGTGTAACCGTCTGAACTCTCCGGTTAACTCATCCTTCTTCGGTCCGAATATTCTACGCAATACTTTATTTTCATAAACCTTAAGACGCTGCTCATCCCTTAATGTAAGCGGCCAAGTTTCGCATCCATAAAGAACTGTAGGCAAGATAATTGTTTTATAGATTCTAATTTTTAAGTTTCGGGACAAGAGGCGCGAACTAAGTAGTTTTGTCACAGAAAAATAACAAGCATTCCCCGCCTTCAGTCTAACCTTAATCTCTTCTTCAATTTCGTTTTTTCTAGTTATCGTAGAACCTAGATACCTAAATTTATCTACCTGTTCAAACATATAACCATCTATATCGATATCACCAGTAGTATCGCCATTTTTGCAGCTAACCATATATTTTGTTTTATCCACGTTTATTTCGAGTCCTAGTTCTTTACCGGCTTTCATTAACGTTGTCGTATTTAGTTTTATAGTTTCAACGTCTTCGCTTAACAGTACCAGATCATCAGCATAGCCCAGCACGGATGTTGTCCCGCCCAGATCCAACCCTTTCTCGGTTCGCATTACCTCCCTAATGGCATGTTCTAATGCCAAATTGAACAGGACAGGCGAAAGAGAATCCCCCTGTTTTAAGCCCGAACGAACCTCAAATTTTTCGGACAAATTATTACCGATTCTAACTTTATTGAGTGTCTCCGTCAAGCACATCCTGACTAGATTTACTAGTTTTTTTGGAATCCCCTGCTCAATTAAAATATTATACAGTTTCTGGCGGTCAATAGAATCGTAAGCCTTTTTAAAATCTATATACAGCTGGTGAACAATACCGTTATACTCCAATTTTTTCTCTAATATTTGCCGTAAAGAAAATATTTGATCAATTGTCGAACGATTCCGTCTAAATCCGCATTGGTAGTCTCCGATAATTTCCTCGGCGTATTCCGTGATTCGACTGGTTAAGATTAAAGTGAATATTTTATAACATACCGGAAGGAGTGAAATTCCTCGATAGTTATTACAATCCGTCCTCGGACCCTTTTTGTGAATCGGAATAAGAATAGATTCTTTCCATTCTTCAGGTAATTTCTCGTTCACCCAGATCTTTTTAACCAACCGATGTATTTTAGAAACTCCAGCTTCCCCGCATGCCTTAATTAGTTCAGTAGGAACATTATCGATTCCCGCTGCTTTATATGATTTTAATTTTCCGATAGCTACTTCAACTTCCTCTTTACTTGGTCCTTCTATTAACGGTTCAGCACTTTGGTACTCAGAAGGAGGACACAGATCATAATTTCCCGTATTTAAAATATTGTCAAAGTGGTCCTTAAACTTATTCAATATGTCAACTGGATCGGTCAGAATATTGTTATTATCATCCCTAATTTCAGAGGTTACGGGCCCTACATATTTACGTGATCTGTTTATACCTTTATACATGTCTCTTACGTTATTTTCGATTTTATTAGTTTCTATTTCAATTATTTTATTTTTAAGATACTCCCTTTTTTTATTTTTGAGCAATTTTGTCGTTTCGTTCTTTGAGATTCGGAAGTATTCCAGATTGTCTTCGCTAGGATTATTTAGAGCTTTTAATTTAGCGGCTTTTCTTTTTTCACACATGTTTAAGCAATCTTCATCAAACCACGGTTTGGTTCCTTTTTTCCTAGACACGAGTTACCGACCGCTTTAATATTATCTCTGATCTCTATCCATAACTTGTCAATATCCTCGTGGTCCTCGTCAGGAAGCTCTAAAGCTTCAAACCTATTCTTAACATCTAGCTCGAATTGGTTTCTAATTGATGGATTTTTCAATTTTTCCAAATTAAAATTCTCAAAATCAAAACGGTTTTCTTTTCTCTTTTTTATATTAAGTTTTTGTCGAAGTTTCGCGATTACTAATTCATGATCCGACCCACATTCTGCTCCGCGATAAGACCGTACATTAATTATACTGCTTTGCCAGCTATGTTGTATCAAGACATGATCGATTTGATTTCGTGTTTGCGAATCCGGTGATGTCCAAGTATATTTATGAATATCCTTGTGTTTAAACGTCGTACTTTTAATTATCAGGTTTTTCGAGATGGCAAAGTTTATCAGACGGATCCCATTATCATTACTATATTCGTGCAAACTTTCTTTACCAATCGTCGGAATATAAACTTCTTCCCTTCCTACCTTTGCGTTCGCGTCACCTACAATTATTTTCATGTAGTTTCGCGGTAGTTTATCATAAACCCATTCGAGTTTATCGTAAAATTCACTTTTGACTTCATCGTCACTGTCTTCGGTCGGACAATGTATGTTTATTAATGCGATTTTAAACCAACGTCCCTGAAATGTAGCTACCGAAATTCTATCACTAAAGAATTGTACGTCCCTCAAAGCGGATAGTAATCTACTCCTAATTAGAAACCCGGTACCCAAACAATGATTCCCGCTTCCTCCGTACCAAATAGTGTACTTTCTTTCCCTCATCGAGCCCTCCCCTGGCCAACGAACCTCTTGCAGAGCCACGACATCCAAATTGTACCCATTTACCTCATTCGTGACCGATTTTAGCCCCCCTGCTGTGTTTAAACTCCTTACGTTCCATGTACCAATATTTAAATCACTATATTTCAACTTGCACCATGAATCCCCTAAAGCAGTCCCCACCCGGAGACCCGAACGGGGGACTAGTTTACCTCCGGATAATGAGCGTTTTACCTTAGGGAGATCCATTACTTTTTGTGGTGTTTGGTGAACTAAACATATGTGAGTAGGGCGTTCAATCCTACGTCACACCCTCCAGCAAGTCTGGAGGGCCCCTCTCATTGTTGGTCAGCGAGTCCATCGGACTTAGCCGGGAGGAACTTCCAAGGAATTTCCACCGACCATCCCCACATCCGCCACCCGTGGGACGCTCCCCATACGCGGTAATGAGCCCGCGCGAGGAAAGTTCAGATAAGGGACAATTACTGTTAGATTATTTTTGGAAATTTCAAAATCAATCTTCATAAAATGACATAAATTATTAATATAGAAATTTGATTTTTCTCTCTCACAAGGTTGAATTTTCCATTTATCTCAATAGGTTTAAATATTTTATAGGCTTAATTAACAATTCATTCATTGAAACAAACCCCTATGAATAATTTTCTAGTTATTTTTCTTAAGGTGATTTATATTGCAAATGTTTGATGGATTAATTTTCCGTTTCTTAATCAACCATTAAACTCATTAAAAAGAATGTTAGCAATCTTTATCTATGAAAAATAAATTCTCAAGCATTGGCCTGAAAGAGATAGAATGTAAGAAAAAAAGGTATTTGCTAGTCTAACCAATGAACTTTAAAATTTGAGTGTGTATTATATTAAGTTTAGTGAATATGTAATTTTTTTTTTGTATACCTTGGGTCTGAAATTAATAGCAAGAATGACATGGCTCAAGAAATACAAAGAAGGATCACGGCTGCCATTAGATGTGTCTTTGGACTTGGCCGACACTTAAGAAGTAGGTACCTCTCAAAGAAGACCAAGCTGATCATATACAAGACCCTTGTTCGGCCTGTTTTGACATATGGCTCAGAGGCTTGGACGATGACTAAAAGGGATGAGATGAAGCTGAGTGTCTTTGAGCGAGGAGTCCTCAGAAGGATTTATGGTCCAGTAAAGGAGGGTGATGTCTGGAGGAAAAGAAGAAATAGGGAGCTCAGTTCTCTCTATGCAGACATCGACGTAGTCACGTATATTAAACTGGCCAGACTAAGGTGGGCAGGGCATGTGGCCAGAATGAGCACCCTTGAAATACCAAAAAAAATAATGATGGAGGAGCTGCACCTCGTAAGACGGGTAGGAAGGCCGAGGACGAGATGGTTGGACAACGTGGCCTATGATGCGAGAACCCTGCTTGGTGTGCGGAACTGGAGAGCTGCAGCAGAAGACAGAGCCAACTGGCGGAGGCTCTTGGAGGAGGCCCAGTCTCGGTAACGGGATGTTGTGCCATACATGAATGAATGAATGAATATGTAATTTTTAGTATAATTATATTTCTCATTTACTAATTACTAATTCTTGATAGATTTACTTTAAAAAAAAAATTAATATTTTTCTTTAAAGGTTCAATAAAGTACTAAATAATGAACAAAAAGATGCTATAACCAATATTCTGAAAGGAGAAGCAAGGCCGTTACCATACATCATATTTGGACCCCCTGGTACTGGTAAAAGTTTGACAATAGTCGAAACAATACTTCAACTTCATAATTTATTTCCCAGTAGCAGGTATTGTTTTGGTCATACATATTTAAACATGTTTATTTAATTTGTTTTTAATTAAATGCCATTTTTAACAATTAGATTTTTAATATAAAATATGTACAAAATGTATATATTTTATGAAATCTATGCTATTTGTTAATGAGAATCACAGGAAAAAGACTTTACAGAAGTATAGGTTGTAATATAGGCCTCAGTTTTCTCAGTAAATAAAATAATTTATTATAAAATTATCCAATTTTTTGCCATTGCAGACATCTTTAGCGATATAATCTAATTTTAAAACATTTTGGTAATGTTTATCTGAAAAATAAAAAAAATCTCTTAGTGGACTTACTGGTAGGCACTAGTCCATTGATAAATTCAATAAAATCATTAAAAAATAATTTTAACAGCCAAACAATATATAGATAGCCAAAAGAAGAGTTGGACGCCCAAGGCTGCGCTGGCAGGATGGTGTGACATCGGACGCCTGTTCCATCCTGGGAATAAGAAACTAGAGAGCAGCGGCATAAAGAAGACAGGACTGGCGGAAATCATTATAGGAGGCCCTGCCTCCTTGTGGGTTGTAGTACCATTAAATAAATAATATAAACAATATAAAGATAAAACTTATTTGCATATAGTGGTGCCAAGCCTAACACACCAATAATGTAAATACTAAGTATTTTAATTTTTGTTCAGAATTATCATGATGGAGGATCAAATTATTCTCAAAATCAATTATATATTTAAAGTTCAATGCAGCCAGTGTGGCTTTTTTTTCTTTTCTTTTTCTTTTTAAATCATACTATCATATTATAAGTTATTTCTTGCAGAGTTTCGGTTAGGGGGGGGGGAGAGGAGGAGGGGAACAGATGCAGACCATGGCAGAAACTTTTATTTTAGACTCATTAGGAATCCTCCATCACCACACATTCGACAAGTCCAATACGGTAAAGATGGCTTTGGAGATTCATGTCCGGTTTTCATCCTAAACTATGCAATGGCCTCACTTCTAGGGAGATCCACTAGTACTTTTCCATTTTCTTCTAGTAATGAAGCCCATATCTTCTCCTTTAACGCCAACTCACGTTTCTGTTCCAATTCTTTAGTGATCACTGTTTTGATTAGCTTCTTTGCCGACAAGAAAAGGATTGGCATATCTGGCTGATCTTTTGCGGCACCTTCTTTTGCGAATCGGTCAGCATTTTCATGACCTGTCAAACCACAGTGTCCAGGTATCCACTGTGCCTTCTAAAATCAGCTACTCAATCAATTCCTGGCACATACTAATTTGATTTATGCATTTACCTATTTAATGAAGTCATGTAAATACTTTGAATTTCTGCATTTTTATTTATTTATTATTGATAATTTTTTTTCTATGTAATTTTGAGTATTAATTGTGTATTGTGTATAAACATATTATTGTAAGGATAAAAAGATATGGACTTAAATCCAAGTAATTTTAAAAGTATTGACATAGGTCAAAAGATATGGGTTCTGAGATCAGAAGGCCCAGTTCAAGAAGCAGTGGCTGCCACGGGAGGCGGCGATAAAAAGACCCTTAAGGTAGAATGCCAGGACGAAGAAGACCAAGTATTGGGCAAATCTGTATCAATAGATAATAATATCAATAGATAATCTGTATCAATAGATCCCAGTTTGCCTAAACTGGCACAGACATCCGGAGAGCCAGGTGGTGAAATAGAAGAGAGGAAACAGGACCCTTCCCCAGCGAATAACAATAAAGTATGCCCCATCTGTGGGTTGGGTTTCAAGGATGATAGAGGCATCAGAACCCATATAGCTAAGAAGCATCCCAGGGAGGCAAGTAGCGATAGATTGGAAGACTTAATTAATAATGGATTAAATGATAGAAGTGGTGATGATGGGTGAGATGAAGTAAAAAGGGAAATAACTAGATAGTTGGCTACCTTTCAGGACTTTCTTCACCAAAATAATATTGATCATATAGAATTCGACGAAGCAGTGGGCAGTTTTTTAAAGAACATCGATGATGAATTACCCGGCTCACAGCACCCTGCTATTAAATTTTATAAGTTAAGGAAAAAAAATAAAACCGACATGGCTGGCAAGGGTGCGGGGAAAGTGTCGATTCCACAAAGGGCCAACAAGGCAGATAGTAGTGGGCAGGAGCAACACCAATACGAGGTAGCTCAATATTATTATTCAAAATGTTATGAAGGCTGACGTTCCTAAGCAATGCCAACTGAAGGTAGCTGAGATCGAAGGCCACTTCAGAAGGCTCTTTAATAATAAAATTCTCTGTAAACGTGCAGATTATGAAAATCATGCCCCGATGCCAAATTTAACATCCATCGATGTCCAAGCAATAAAAAAGCTATAAAATCACCATCATTGGACATTTTGTGGGGGCCTGACGGTGTTTCGATCTGCATGATAAAATACTTCGAAGTATTTCATATCATCAAGACTATTGCGGAGATTATGCTGAAGGTGGCTTATATACCAGAGCCTCTACGTCAAGGGCACACAATCATGATCTATGAGGGGAAAAGAAATACCAATAGCATATCTGCATGGAGATCAATTACCATTTATTCGATTGTGCACTGAATCATTGAGAAGGTTATCGACCAAGAACTGAGGAAACAGATTAGCAAAATTCAGAGAGGCTTCATCAGGGGCCTACCGGGAACACATGTGAGCGCAAGAATCATTGACGCGATCCTAAAAGATGCCAAGAATGGAAAGAATGATTGCGAGTTGGTATTTCTTGATGTCGGCGCTTTTGACAATGTTGGTCACGATCATATAATCAGCTCACTCCAGGCAAGAGGAGTGTCACTGAACCTGAAAAACGTGATTGCGGCTCTCCTGGGCTCTAACCAAATCAAGATTGGATTCGGAGCCGACTCGACAAACTGGATCAAAGTGTGGGGAGGAGTACCCTAAGGAGGACTCTTGTCTTGTCTTCTTCACTGTTCAACCTGGCTATAGATCATCTATACCGTGACCTGTGTGAACAAGAATTTTCTAACTACTATGGATATAAATTAACCAGTGACCAAGAATGTGTGGTCCTCACAGACTTTGCGGATGACCAGGCTTTTACGGCACATGACAGGGGTGCTGCAGTAAGTATTATCAATTATGTGCAGAGGATCCTAGCCGAGATTGGTCTGGCTGTAAATCCACAATAAAGTGTGGGCTTAATAATCGATAAAGGAGAGCTGCAACAAACTAAGCTCTCCCTAGAGAACGGAGAAACCATAGATTCAGCAAAGGCTGGTGAGATTTTAAAGTATTTAGGATGTATGTTCTCAGGAGAGCTGGTACTGAATGAGAAAATGGTGTACAAATTGAACAATAATTTGGATAAATTGGTTAGCTCATGCCTTCTTAAACCAGAGCAAAAGATCAACGTTGTCAACCTGCTCCCAGGACTTACCTACCCTCTCGGCACCCCTCACAAAGATACGTCCTGCGATATTGGAAGGAGTTGATACAAATATTCGCAGGAGTATCAAGGCCATTTATTGGGCTCTCCGCTAACACATCAATGTTATATGCACATCTTATATACCCCGGTGATATTGTATGCACCGAGGAGGTATTGAGGATTGGAAATGATCCACTGTCAATGGTAGACTCCTTTGCAGCATTGGTCCATTGCCCAGCGAATGTCCAATGTACTGGATGCCCTGTTCCAGTCCACATTTGATTATAATGCAGAAATCACAGAATGTGCAGAAAGACTGGGAGTGGGTCAGGGCCAACGAAATGTGAAAGCTCTACGACAGTGGCTAAGAGAAAATTCTTTTGAAGAATGGGCCAGTTGCAGGTGGCAAGGCGTTGAAGTTCTGCATTTTAAAGAAACCCCGAAAGCTAACAAACATATTTGCCAAAAGCAAGTGCTTTCGAGATCAGAATGGTACAACGCCTTAAAACTCAACATCAATTATGCATCTCTGGGTGGAGCTCCAGGATCCAGTGGACAGTCGAATGAAGTTGGGTCCCTCTGTCGCAAATGCAGTAGAGTCTGAAACACCAGCCTGTGTGCTGGGAAAATGTTCCCAACAACTCCCTCCTCATAACATGCCGGCAACATAGAGTCAAGTTTGGATCGGTGAGGCACCTTAGAGATGAGGAATTCACCTGCTTCGACGAGGTCTATTGCATCGACATTGAAGGCTCAACCAGGTATGCAGACATTGTTGCATTTCTCAGGACAGGAAAGACAGCTCTGATCTTGGATCCTACTGTCCGCTTTGAGAGCAATGACCTCGATCAGGCAGGTGAAGTGGAAAGGGAAAAGAAAAATATATACGATAAACGTATCCCTTTCCTAAAATAGAAGTTCCATGAGACCTTCGGAGAGAGAGAGAGTTCACCTTGAGAGGCCTCTGGTTTGGGTCTGACGGAATGATCCCAAAAAGAACAAGGAGCTTCCTCGAGGAAGTAGGTGTTGATGTCAGGGAGCTTGCGAAGTTGGCCGAGAATACTATTTTGGACTCCTTAGGGATCATCCAGTGTCACTTGTATATCAATTGACTGTGGATTTAGAATGTCCTTTGTCATTTATCTATTTATTTATTTAATTTTAATTGTTTAGCTTTATCTTATATTTTTGTCTATATTCAAGGAATTGGGTTGATATATGTGTGTGATTTAGTCTTGTATTTCTAGCATTCAAATACTTTCTTTTTTTTTTTCATAAAATATATGTATTGTAAAATGGTAATTGTTTAATGTGGTATTGTTAATGATATGGTATATGGACTAGTGTTGTGAAAAGGGATAAAAAAAAAAAAAAATGATATGTTTATATAATACATGTATAATAACATGTATAAATAATTTATTTACTCTAGTTATTTTTATTTTTTTTTAATTTTATCACTAAAATTGGTTACCTATAAAACTTATTTGGCGTTTCTTTCAATTTTATTTAGTTATTAGTATGTTTTTGTTTTTTGTACCTATATTATAATATTGTAACCCTTGTACCCATCTGCTTTCCTTAATATACCCTCCAAAACTATGTATATACTCATTTTACTACTTAGATTTTAATTACTCTTTATTATAATAGGTAATCTGGCCAGATTTATTGTCAATTGGTTTGAACAATATTGTTATTCAATATGATAATGGAATAATATGATTTAAGTGCAATGTTCTTATGAATTGATCAGTATGCTGTGTAAAAAGCAACCCTATATAATAGGGCAGCACTACTTTCAATAAAGTATCTCTCTCTCTGAGACTACTGAGGTCTATACTACGACTTATATTTATGCTAGTTTATTGGTATAGATTAAGGTAAGATATATGGTATAAGTTTGGTATAAAAGTAGTAAATATGTTTTACTCATAGAAAATATTATGCCCTTATTAGCAGTTTTGTTGAACTATGACTAACACAAATCGGTTCTTACTTATAAGCTTATTTATGAGAAAATTAAAAAAAAAACAATATTGTATCTTACTACATTTTATTACTATATTGTTATAACTGCTATATATGTTTTTTTCAGAATATTAGTTGCAACCCCTTCAAATTCAGCAGCAGATCTTTTAGCTGAAAGGATTTTAGAATCAGGAAATGTGGAACAAAACAAAATGTTGAGGCTTGTTGGGTTATCTGCTTTTGAGCAAGGGAAGATCACTGCATCATTGATACCATATACTGCAATGATAGATGCCAAAAATGAGTATGATGATAGATTTGGTAAGCTAATCTGTTCTTTAAAATTGAAGATAATTGTGTGTTGACTTTCCTTATTTTCTTCCCTCCCCCCCTTTTCCTCTATCTCTATTAATTTTTCTTTTGCTTTTACAATACTAAAATTTAAATTTAATTCTAATGTATAATACGGGGTAGCAACTGACCTGGAAAAATGGGAAAAGTAAAAATTTTTTTTTTAAAATTGGAATTTATATGCTGTGGATGTCGTTTATAACGTCCTTAAGGGACCTGGTAAACTTTGTTGTTATAAACGTATAATTGCTATAACGACAACAGTCGCTATATCTATCTGTGACTGTCAATAACGGCCTGGCCGTTATATTAAAGTTAAACTTGAGTAATGAACACAATGGAGTTGAAACAGTGCTTTTTAAAAAAGAAAAATATACCAGTACTATTTACTATCTATGATGTATACATCTATGATCATATTTATTTTTTACATAAGATAATGAACTTAACGGTAATTCTGTCTCTAGACGAACACCCATTAGAACAATAATCAACCTTAAAATGCTAAGTCCTGTTGGGCGTCAACTTGTTAAAAAATTGCGTTTTACTATGTTAAATATGTTAGCGTCATGATAATTCTCATGAATTGGCGGCGAAAACTATTTGTTGGTTAACTGAAGGAGAACACTGGCAGCTTCACAGCTAAATTTTTTAAAAACAATATTGTTTTGGGAGCAGAATCTTTGTATCCATACTCACGAAATACTAGTTTGAGATTCATTTAAGATCGCAAATTGATTTTAAATATTTTCGAGTAAAATCTGACTTAACGCTGATGTAGACCTGAAGCTGCCGACCATGTTTATTATAATGTTGACTGTTTGCTTATTTCACAAGAAAAATCTCTTTTCATCGGTTTTTTACCAATTGCTCATAATCTATGCATTTCTTGAAGATATTCATCATAATCAATTTGAAAGAGCATTAAATTTCTTATATACCTCATGTAGACGCGTTAATATTTGAGAAGATTAAGGGCAAGAAATCGAAGGCGTGTTTCACTCACAGTATCTGCCACTCTCAACTTAAGTGCTTTTTATCTTTTCCATGCTTTTGATTTGGCTAATTTAACTTTATTTAAAACAAAACTAGAATATGTTAACAAATTACCTAGTTTTTATATATTCTGTTACTATGAGAAACATCAAAGTTCATAATAATCAAAAACTTAATTTCCGAAATGTGCTTCAAAGTCCGAGCACTCTAATGGTTTTTCAACTTTTCGTATATTAACGATTATACCCGAGCTCAATAAAAATTTTGATGCACTTTCAATTTAATTCAAGCTTATGTAGAGTCCTAATATGCGAGTAGGAGAAATGTCGGACTTTGAAACGTATTTTGGTCCTTAATTTTTTGATGATTGTTATGGATGTTGAAATCCCTCTTGCCAACAGAATATATTAAAGCTGTTTAATTTGTTTATACATTTTAGTTCGGTCATAATAATTAAATTTCTAAAAATAGAATAAAAAGCATTTAAGTTGAGAGCGGCAGACACTACAAGGGAAATACGCCTTTGATTCTATGAGCTTTAACAGCCACTAAATCTCACGTATTAACGTGTCTACATGAGGAATATAGGATATTTAATGCACTTTCAAATTGATTACATTGAATTTCTTTGATAGATGCATAGATTATGAGCAAGGCCCGGATTTAAGATGGAAGAAGGAACGATGGAGGAAGCCGCCTTGTAAACTTTGCTTTTTCACAGGAACTGCACATTGGAAATACTTATTTTAGAAAAAGAAATGGTTTTAAGTGGACCTGCTGCTCACCTATGGGACTAAATTTTGAAATAGATAATATTTTAACCAACGAAATTAAATTAATTAGAGATATAAGTGTAATACCTGCTGTTAATTTCAAATCAGATCACAGAACACTGAAAGCTGTTTTTATTACTAGGAAATTAAAATAAGAGCGACTTTTCAAATTGGGAAAAAAATTGCCTATGTCTCAGAAAGGGGACCAAGCTTATGAATTAATGGAATATATATCAGAAAAATTACCTGTAGAACTGGAAGAAAAAAACGTACAAGAGAGCTATGAAAATTTGATAAAAGTGTGGACAATAACTTTTTCTTGGAACCCCATATTACGAGTATATTAGGACGATTACGTACAGGTTTGTACAAAATTTACTGTTTTCAATTTTCACTTAATAAAGAATCGTTAATAATGGTGTATAAGGCATTGTTTGAATCAATACTAAGTTACGGGATTGAATTTTATGGAGCCAGTGCAGATGATCATTTATCGAAATTCTGTAAATTACAAAATAGAACATTGAAAATTATAACAAAAAAACAGCCAAATCATTACTACCAAATTTATTTTAAATATACAAAATATCACTTAAATTCAAGCATGATGACTCATCAGCTACCTATACAATGTGTAATTATTTGGTTAATAAACTCTAAACTTTAAAAAAAAAACTCTTAAGTTCTCCAAAATTTCTCCCCGAAGAATGACGATGTAAAACTGTTATAGAATAAAATGACAATAACTACTCTAAATTTATGCAAGGAAAGAAGAGAAGCCAAACTAAATCCTGAAGGAGATCCAATACTTATAAGTTCTCTAAATAGGGAAATTAGAAAGAAAATTAAAGAAGACTTACTCAAATATAGATATGAACTTATAGCCGAAACAATCTCTATGAATAGCTCTACCAAAAAATTAAGGAAGGAACTGAGCGTAGCCAGAAACTGGTTACTGTCTCTTAACAGTCAAGATCATAAAAAAATAACAGATAGAGGAGTGATGATAGCCACAACTATGAGCTACTTCAAAAATATATACGATTGCAGAGGAAGTAACTTAGCACCTGAATTACCAAAGGCAAATGTTGAAGAGGATGTCCCAGCAATCGCAAGAGTAGAGGTCAGGAAAGCAATAGATAACCTGAAGAAAAATAAAAGTCCAGGTTCTGACGGAATAAGGAGTGAGATACTTAAAGCAGGAGGTACAATTTTGATAGGACATTTAAAAAATCTTTTTAACTCTGTGTTATTGCAAGAAGAAATACCCTGCCAATGGAAGACAGCCAAGATCATTTTGCTTCATAAAACGGGCAGCAGGAATATGATAGACAATTATAGATCTATATCTTTCTGCTCGACTGTGTCAAAGGTGTTTGCATCTATCGTCAAGGAACTTCTCACTGGGAGAATAATGGAATTCATAAGTGAGGATCAAGCTGGATTCAGGAAAGCTGATTGACCACATTCAGATTATTAATCAGGTTATTGAAAAAGCGAAGGAATACAGGTTTCCTACTTATTTATGTTTTGTTGATTTTCAGAAAGCGTTCTACAGCATTTTCCATAGAATTATCTGTGAGGCGCTCTACAAGCAATAGGTATAGATTGGTAAGGAAGTGAATTGAAGAACATCAATAGGATGGAGAAAGTACTGGTCTTTAAAAGTAATAATGAAAAATGATCTACTGAAAGAGGTAAAGAAAAAGTCTTTGATACTTGTATACTCCCTGCCGTTTCCTTTGGCAGTCAAACTTGGACCTTAACTAAAGCCCAATCAATAAAACTGATAACATGGCAAAGATCAGTGGAAAGAAGTATGACTAACATAAAGAAGGAGATTAGGAGTTGTGTCATCAGAGAGAAGACTGGTTTGAAAGATATAATCCACCACTTCAAGAAGAAAAAATGAGAATGGGCAGGGCACATATTAAGAAGAACTGACAAAAGGTGGTCAATTGAGGTGACTGGACACCTTAGTGTCACAAAAGGCATAGAGGAAGACAGATGAAAAGGTGAAGTGATATCTTTAGGAAGATGGCTGGACCACATTGGTGGAGATTGGCAAGAGACAGAGATGCCTGGAAAGAGAAGTGGATTCAGATTGCGAACTCGGCTTCACCGTTGACTGGTCCCCTGGAAAAGTCTAGATCTATATTCCCTGTGGGATGGCCTATATTTAAGACTTTTATTAGAATTTAAAATGGTTACTAGCTATAAGTCCTTTTGTTAAATGATATTGTCAGGAGCTCCTAGTATAATAACGGAATATTGAGAAGAACTAATTTTGTCGTGAGTCGATAGATACTGGTTTTTTGGATTTAAATGATTCAGCATATTCTCAAGTAGATTCACAATTTTTTCAAATTGTGAGATTTACGTTTAATTCTTGAGCTAAGCTGCTATTAGACTCTTCCCTCTCCAGTCGGCAACATATATAGAATTTTTCTTTCAAGCAAAAACTTTATTAAACTACTAAGCAGAAATATAAATTTAATGCTAAGAGTGGGAATGAAATTGACCCTATAAATGTGATACTTAAATAGAGAAGGAATGAAATAAAACATTTCCTTGATAAGTGAGATATAAACAGAAAGGTTTTAAGAATTAAACTGTCATTACATCCGATTATTTTTTCTAAAAATTAAGAAATCGAGTCAGTAAATCCAATGGCTATATCCATTCAAAATTACATTACAAAAGCCATCTGAATCATTGGACATTGCGTTTTCTTCGTTAAAGCTGATACATTATTACAACGATGTTGTTATTTGAATATATTGTAATTCGATTTATGATATGGTAATTCAAAGATAAAAATTTTGACGTAAGCCACAGCCTTGATTACTATGAAACCTTGAGTCTTTCAATATTGTTATTAACTATACAACCACATTGCTATTCCAACTGCCTGTGCCCATCTTATTTTACTAAATATTTTTTATGTTCTCCCATTAATTTATCGAGCGATTAATAAATTGAAACTACAAATAATTGTTAATTACTGTCTTTATTTCATCATTAATTATTAATACTAATAAGTCCAATGCAGGCTATGATGCCATCGGGTGTCGTTTATGGTAGTTTTAATTTTTTTTATATTCAGTTTTGAACTCTGCAACAACCAGAAATTTAGTTTAGAGATATCCAATAGTGGATTAGTAATATTGTTTCAAAAACTCGATTTTACAGATAGTTCAGGAATAGTTGAGTTGCCTTCTGATTTTTAACAGTTAATATTGCCAAACAATAGTTACCGATATATTATTTAAATTATATTTTTATTTAAAGCATTTGGCTACAGTTGTAGCAATTCATTGGCTTGACATGCACTCGTTCGTCCGACCCATGGTGCTCCTTAAAAGAGCATGTACTAACCTGAAACGTTTAAGTTTTTTTTTAATTTTTAATTTTGCTTCCTCACTACCCAAGGTAGGGAAGCTTTGTATTCTTACGGGAGGTCAAAAAAGAATTTGTGCTGAGAATTGAAAATTTTCACTCGCGTTTTGCATTTCAAACATCAAGGATCAAATTTGGTTCGGTGTCTGTCGGTCTATAGTCGAATCGATGTGATGGGCATATCACCTACTACCACTTATCCGATTTTCATGAAATTTTCAGGGATTGTGGGGGTTGGTGTCTAGATGATATATCAATTTAATTAAATTCTAAATAGTACTTCTGGTTGCGCATGCCCAAATGTATTTTTTTAGTTGTGCCAATATTTCAGATATGGCTTGATTGATATGGTTCAACGTTATAAGAAAGTTAGGTAATGGTAAAATAATGAAGCTTGTTCCATTTGTCTCAAAGTTATAAGAAACATGGGTTTTGGTAAAATAATGGTACTGTATAGATTTTACTAAATTCTGTGCAGCACTTCCGGTTGCACATGTGCAAATGCATTTTATAATAAAGGCCAATATTTCAGAAACCAGATCAATTATAACATATATCAATCCTGAGAGAAAAAAAATATTTTTATAATATCCCTTATTGTATGCATATATATGTATATGTACATTAGATTAAAAAAAAATTGTAAATATATATATATATATATTTGCAAACATTTTTTAATCGACGTTTGAGTATTATATTTTAAAATAATTATTTAATTGGGAATAAGGACACTTAATAATTATTCAATAAACTACTAAATGTTCATTGCTTCTGTGTTTATTTGACATTTCGATCCCGGTTTTTTATAAGTTAACAATGGGATCTTCTTCAAAGTTTTAAAATAGAGCCTGGATACCTCAGGCCAGGGACACACCAACAGTCATAACACCATCCTTCAGCACATATATTAAGCTACTCTTTTATATGTAGTAACTTTTATGTACAGTATGATATACCTTCCCTCCCCCCACATCTGGTTCACCACCTAGGAGTGTGAACTTCCTCCTTACTAGTCCAAACAATTTCCTAATGTCAAAAATTCTGCCCCCGCCATTTCCTTCTGTAATCATTCATTGATTGAGCTACTCGGCCATCCTAAACCTCACAGTTGGTATCGTATGGATAATTATTACTCTGTTTGTGGTAACAAAACAACTAAATTGCTTATGTGGGACCATATTAAAATAAGAATCATCCATAGCACACTTTATTTTAGAAAAACGCCAAGTATCAACTTTTACATCCTCTCACTATATGAATATAAAATAAAGGCGATAAAAATAAATTACTTAAAGTTTAGTTTTCAAAAATAAAAAATCCTAATGAAATTTAAAACATGCTTCCTTTAGAACATTATATTTGTTTAAAAGACTGAACAGGCTTTTTTTTTTACTATAATCTTTAAATTTTCATTCATTTACAATAAATAAATTAGTTATAAACTATAAATGTTTAACATGTGTGTCCCCTGACACATTGATCATAGAAAATTTTCATTAAATAAGGAAAAGTCAAGGAATTTTATTCTCAGTTTGGTAGCCACCCTGTAATAGGATATATTATGTATTGCAAATCGATTGCTTTTTGTTTATATTTAAGAGTTATATATATAAATAAATATATATTTTCTTTAGGAATCCAAGTTATCACTCGTGAAGCTATCAAACAGTTTAACATTATTATTGGCACAATTGGTTGTGTTAGCATTTTATTCAATTTGGGATTTCCAAGAGGTTTCTTTACTCACATTATTGTTGATGAAGCTGGTCAAGCAACTGAACCGGAAATACTCACAGTATTGAGTATGTATTTTTACAATAATATTAAACTTTTATTATGTACAGTAATTATTATTATTTTCTCTTTAAGTGCATTATATCATAAGCATCAACATTCTACTGATTGTTCTACTTCTGTTAATTTTTCAGTTCTTTTAAATATTCAGAGTGGTCAAGTAATATTAGCAGGTGATCCTTTGCAACTTGGCCCAGTTACTTATTCTAAATTGGCTATAAAATGTGGGCTTCAAGAATCACTTCTCTCAAGGTTACTTGATAGGTATGTGTGTTAATCGCAACTTAGAAAAAAATAAGAATTATTTAGTCTTCTATGGCTCCATCAGCTCATTTGTTTTTTTTTTCCCCTTAGGTTTCCGTACAAACGTGATTTAGTTGGTTTTCCTAAAAGTTATGGTTATGATCCCCGTTTAGTGACTAAACTGGTCAACAATTACAGATCACTACCATCCATATTACAGTTACCAAATATGCTTTTCTACAATGATGACTTAATTCCAAATGTAATTATATTTTTCCTTCATTCAGTTTTTTTATTTTATTAACAGTTTTTATGAATGAGTATTAAAACTGAATATGCTATTGAGTTAGATCATTTTTATATAGGATATTTACACTATTTCTTAAATTAATATTATTTTCTTCAAATTTGGTATTTAGATCTTCATCTAATAGTTCCTCTCGTGTATTTTATCATGTCAATTAATAAACTTAATTGTGGAGAGAATATGCAAAAATACAACCAGTTTCTTTGTTGTTAGGAAGTACTGTTTCTGAGCCAAATGTGAAAGGAAATGAATTTGCCTAAATTACACTCAAGTGCCAAGTTTTTACCCTTAATAGGGCTGGATTAAAATTCCTGTAGTGAAGGAATATTTTTTTTGCAATCATAGTTAATTAATATTTATAATAATAACAAGTCTTAGTGAATTTAATGCCTTGGACCATGATGACTTATTGTGATGGTGTAAGAAAGGTTTTTCAGAAACTTAAGTCGGGTAGTGTGGGTGTATTGAGGTCCTGTAATTTTATTTTGTGGCAGTCTTGCAAAATTAATCTCAGCATTCCCACTCTAGTTAAACAAGTGTGGCAAACAGCTATGTGGTTATTTTATTATAGAACTAAATCGTAGAGCTAAACTAAATACATTGATGTTAAGTATGGGAAGTAAATTTGAAAATATTGAGTTTTTCTTTGTTTAGGGTTCATTATAGTTTGAAGACAAAAATTCAAGAAGAAATAAAGTAAGGAAAGGTAGGGTAAGTACGCATTAGATTTTATAAATAAATTTTGACTTTCAAATTTCATTCAGGAAATTTTGACATGAATGATGCTCTACGGTTTGGTCGCCCACATGAAATTGAAACCACCAATGTTTAGGCCATTATTGATCAAAATCCCACCCAATCATTGGGAGAGATTGCTATGGCCCTAAATGTATCGCACACAAGCGTAGAAAACCATTTGCACAAGCACGGCTATGTTGCCAGGCTTAATGTTTGGGTCCCTCACTCTCTAATCGAAGACAACTTGGCAACATGCATTTCTGTTTGTGATTCACTACGGTTACAGCAACAAAACAATCCATTTTTGAAAAGGTTGGTAACACTAGATGAATAATGGATATTTCACGATAATGTATTATGTAGAAAATCTTGGAGACCTAGTAGTGAGGCTCCTAGAAGAATGTCAAAACCTGGATTGCATCCAAAGAAGATAATTTTTTCCATATTCTATGAGATATTGCCATCAGAATAAACAATTGATTCAACTCTATACTGCTCACAATTAACAAAATTGGATCAATCAATTAAAAATAAACACCCAGATGTGGCAAATTGGAAGAGTGTTGTGTTCCATTAAGACAACGCTAGGCCCCACACCTCATTAGTCACTCGCAAAAAATGATTGAGTCTTGGATGGGGCCTTTTGCCCTCCCTCCCTATTCACCAGACCTAGCTCCAAGTGACTACCACTTATTCCGGTCTCTGTAGAACTCCATAAATGGAAAGAAATTTCAAAAGGAAGAGGACATCAAAAACCACTTGGATCAGTTTTTTAACAATAAACTCCAGACATTCTATGAATATGGCATTATGCAGTTAGTGGAAAGATGGGAAAAAGCCATATTAAATAATGGTCAATATATTGTAGATTAAAATAAATTTTATGTCTATAATACATTGAGTTTTATTTCAACCTGAAAAACGGAAACGACTTATTTGCCAACCAAATATATATTTAAGGTAGTTATATGCCTGGGACATACAACTTTTTTACTAGAATTGATTTACCGGAAGTGTCACTTCTATCAATTTTACACATTTTTTTCAAAAACAGCTCTATTGATTTTGATTAAACCCTTTATATCATTGTAAAATTAATTGGTATATAATATCACTTGGCTCTTATTCTCATTGAAATAATGTGACAGGGCTACACTCTCCTCACAATAAACCCAAGTTTTTGACCTGGCTTTCCTTGTGCTTTTCTGTCATCTTAAAAAAAAAAAACAGTAAGTCAATGAACTTTTTTCTTAGTAACTTACTTCTGGTGCATTTTAAGTAAAAATGTGTTATTAATAATGTCAAAGAAAATTAAATTGTCTGCCACTTTCATGTGTAACAAGCTGGAAACTTTGGAATAGCTACATAGTTACATGGGTATAAAAAATTGTCAAAATATAAAAAAAAAAAATAATAAAAAAAATATAGCAAAAATTGTGATACATCAGTGGTTTCGCTATGAGAATTATTTTTAGTGTAGTTGAGTGCAAGTACTGAATAACCAATTTTATAGAGGATTAAATGTCCTAGTAGGCTCATTTAAAACATTTGTAATTACTTCCTACAAGTGTCAATAAATATTAAAATAACAATTTTTGTGACAGTGGACTTAAAAATGAAAACATCACTTTCTATTCTATCATTATTCATGAATGTAAAATCTGTAATCCCAGTTTGTGTATAATATATAACCATAGTTTACGAGATTTATTAAGTTGGAAAAGGAAATCAAACAAAATTTCAGTACACTTTCAAATACAATTTGAAAATAATATTAAATTTTATTTTAATCATATATACACAATTTTAAGTTAAAAATTCATTCATTAAGGTTTGTTTGTCCCAGAAAGAGTTTATGTCTATAATTCATCAACTTAAATTTACCAATATGCGGATTGATCAACTTCTTTTATGTTGAATTCAACTTCTGGTATATTATAATCTGATTTCAATACACAATGGAACATTGAAGTGATTTTTTGCATTTCAATGCCAGAGGGGCTGGTTCTGTCTATTTATTAGCAGTGAATTTAGACCAACAATATTCTAGCCCTAGTTCAATTACATGAGTATTTGGGAATGTGTTGCAAATTTGTTTAATTTTCCTGTATTTTTTCTAACATTGTATATTCTGTTATAATTTACATGAATCTTGTGAATTATATGTATTTTTTTACATTTTGGCAGATTTTAATGGCTCTAATAGCTGTTCTAAAGTTTCCAATTTTTTACTTATGAAAGTTGCTAACAATTTAATTTTCTTTAATATTGATAATAACTTGTATTTGCCTAAAATGCACCAAAGAGTTACCAAGGAAAAAGTGCTCTTTCTTAGCAATTTTTCAAGACAGTGGGAAATGTACAAAACTTGTATTTTTATGAGGGGTTCAATAGATACAATATGTCTGAAAATCAAAATTACTCCATCTGTTACAATCCTGAATAATTTATCTTTATTGTATTAACTATTGAAAGTCAAAGCTTTTAGAAAAAATGATATCTAAAAGATCATGGAATATACTAAAGAATGACAAAAAAACAAACAAAAAAACAAACAAATAAATATAACAGATTAGATAGATGGGTGATAAAATAAAAAGGTAAGTAATTGTTTTATGTGAATATTTTGTTCCCTTTATAATTTTTATTTTCACTGACCTATATATGAGAATATTTATTTCTATTCAAAGTAGAATTAGTTAATAAGTGAAAGTTATATTATGCACACACTACACCAGATGATTTAAAAATATTTCGAGATGATTATATCTTATATATTACCTCTACATTGTTATGAGAGTGATAATTCAATTTAGTTGTACCTTCCTTGCACTTGTCCCTGTATTCATTGTTCAAGCAGTAACAGTTGTGAAACAAAAGCAAAATAGTCTATTTCTGGAAGATTAGTTTATGACGTAATCATTAGAAAAAGTTGAAGCTGGTTTGAGGGTCATATTTTACAATCTTCAGTAAAATTCATGATAGAAGGATATGGATATGAGGATGAATTGATTAAAGATATTGAAAAAAAAAAGAACTTTTATTTCAATCTGTCACTATCATATTTTGATAATTGTGACTAGCACTTATTAGAAAAATAAAAAATAAAATTAGAAAGGTCTAAAGGAAAAATTTAACTTATATAATATTTTGATGAACAACATCTGAAAGTTCCACTTTCTTAAAACATATACACACAACAGGTTTAGTATTGGTTAAATACTGATAGCTATAAAGTAGAAATTGAAAGACCCAACTTAATCAACTGGTTGGAACTGATTTCTTTACAACTCATTATACTTACATTACCTTTAAGGAACTCTTGTGGCTGATTAGTGTAACATCAGTTTTTATAATTCATGATTTGTTTGTATATTATTAATATTTGGCAACTAATATCAGTTCAGGGTTTGAATTTAATGAGAGGATTGTACACTTTCCCCACAAACTACATTCACACATTACCAACAAAATATTGGAATATTTAACTTTTATAAATGAACCAAAATTTGTATAAAAAATAGAATGCTTTAATGTTTAACTTTCAAAACAAAGTTTAAGTTTTTAATATATTTTTTAGAAATGTTTTTAAAAACCCAAGAACTTTATAAATCATACAAATCTTAATGTTCTGTTATAAATAATATTAATTTTTATGTTGATTTCCTCTAACATTTGTGTTTTGATTTTTTTTTGTTCTCTATTTTATAAGAAATTCTTATTTTAAAATTTTAGATAATCGAGAAGTCAAGTGAAGAAAGTATTTTGTTAAGTAGATTGAGGCTTCCATTTCTAATTAAAACATTAGATGGAAATGCTCCTCCACTTGTTTTCCATGGGGTGCAGGGTACAAATATGCAGGAGAACAGCTCATATTCTTGGTACAATCCTCAAGAAGCATACCAAGTTTTTATTTATTTAAGTTCGCTGTATAAAGCTGGTTTATCTCCTGATCACATTGGTATTATTACACCCTATCAATTACAGGTAATTTTTTAAAAAACCATTGATTATTATTATTTTTCATTGTTTTGAATTTTTTCATTATTATTTAAAACCTCTTTGTAATTTCTTTAATAACTGAAAGAAATATAAAAAATTAAAAAAAACAAAAGAAACAATATTTGATTTAGTTTAATTACTATATGATCAATTATTATCTGAATGAGTGCAGTTGCTAGATTAGTCTGGAATTGTTAGGAGATTTAAACTTCAAAATAAAGACTTCTCCCCACAAACATATTCTGTTATCATTACAAGGGTTACTTTATTTAACCATATTATGTAACCGTAAAATATGTAAACATATTTCATATTTTGAATGATCTTTTTGCCTTATTAAATCATCAGGAGAAAAATAAAATAAAGGAATTGGCTTGAATAGGAAAAATTACAAAACAGATAAGTGTTTAACCCCAGGGTATATGTTCATTTCTTTAAAATATGCTATCTAGTAGCCTTGAATTTCTTAAAGGTTGGGGATTCTACTTGGATTTTTCACATTGGGGAAAAAATTTTATTTGAAAATGGCCAGTCATCAGGAGTTTTTTTAGGTTTTAGTCTAGTAATTCTATTTTTCATTGATGTTTGGTAACTATTAATCATAACAAACAGGATTTATTATGAACAGAAAGGCAAAATAAATAGCTAATAGTACCGTAATATTCTGATAAGAGTAACATGTGTAAAATGGGCAGTGAATTATGAATTTGTTTGATTGTGTAATTTAAAGGATTCTGTGACAACTCTTTCTTATTTAGTATTTGCAGAATATTTATACCATTTTGTTTTTTAATAGTTGTATTTTTTCCTACAGGTTTTGAAGATACGTCAAATGCTGGAAAAGCTTAATATTGAGCCTCCTAAACTTGGATCTGTTGAAGAATTTCAGGGTCAAGAGAAAATGATCATAATTATGAGTGTTGTTAGAAGTAATTTTGAATTCATTAGTTATGACACTCAAAGAGCACTTGGCTTTGTGAGGAATCCTAGGCGCTTAAATGTTGCTATATCACGTGCACGTGCCATGCTTATCATAATAGGTTTGTTTTCATTGAATAGTTACTATTAAAATGTTGTTTTGATTTTTGATATATAGTTGTTATAGAAACAAATTTTAAGGTAGAATTATTATTTGCCTCATCATAGAAAAGTTTGCTTTTGTCATATTTGAATAGTGGGTGATCATCTAAAGTTTGAGTTTAAATCGTTTGACTTTTATGTTGTTACCTGGTTTGAAATTTATATTTAATAAAAGTTATCAGTGTAATAACTGCTATTGAATTACAGCTTCATTACTACTCTGTTTACGTTATTGACAAAACTTATTTCATAGAAACTGTTGGTAAACAATCCTTTTATACTCATAAACATTACAATTTGCTGTACTTTGTGGTTTCCAGAAGCTATTATATAGCCTTAGAGTGTATATGTTGTTATTAGGGATCAACCGATGTTGAAATTTTGGCCGATATCGATATTACAAAGGCCGATATATTGACCATATCGGCCTTTTTTTCAGCCTATGCACAAGTTTAGACCAATAAATGATATATAAACTTATATTTCAGCATATTGGTCATTCGTTTTTATAGGTCTAGTTCAGTACAACGTCGCATAGAAAATTCTTGTAATTGCTGAATGTAAGTGTCAATTAATGATAACGATATATCCTCCTGATGACTTCATTTTATCGAAATTAGTACAGTTAGACCATTTTTTAAAATTTATTTATATTATTTTTTTTTTTTTATCCTCTTCTCTCCAAATACTGATATTCTAAACACCCATATATCGTCTTTACGACCTAATTTTATCATGATTCATAGAGTTTTACCCAGAATAAATATTATTTATTTTCCTAATAAATGTGTCAATCAGTTTTCAAGGCATTGACATAAACATAAATTTGAGCAAAGAGAGATAAATCTGTCTCGCAACTTGTTTTTTTTCTTTTCAGGGTCCACCCCTTCCTCACCTTTTAGACTATAAGGCGTTTTCCCAGGACAGGGGGAAAGGCAAGCCGTTGATGCCAGAGTTAAAATTCTCCCTCTGGCACTAGGACGCGAACTCGTAACTATTTGTATAAAATTATCTCATATATCAGGTAGCTGGGCAACGGTGGTGCTGAACTTATGGAACTTGTTAGCCTCAAGACTTTATTTTAAAGAATAGAAAAATTATCAAACTCTACCAATCTCTATTTTTTTTTAATTTTGTGCTTGTCTTATTTCAAATGTTTTTCAGTTCAACCCATGTGCCAATATATCACCCTTTTGACTTTATTTTATCATAATTTATAGAGTTTCACTTGGAATATTATTTATACTGATAATAAATGGGTCAATCGATTGCTATGGAATCGATATAAACATAAATTTGAGTACAGATCGATATATCGACCTTTTGACTTTATTTTATCATAATTTATAGAGTTTCACGTGGAATATTATTTATACTGATAATAAATGAGCTTATCAATTGCCATGGAAGTGATATAAATATAAATGTGAATAAAGACCATTATATCGACCTTAAGATTTAATTTTATCGAGATTAATAGAGTTATATCTATGTATATAGATTTGTATTTTACTTTGTATTAATTCATCATTGTTATTCTAAGGGGACTTAGTCCCAGAATAAAGTTTAATTTTCTATTCTATTCTATATATATATTTTTAATTTTGAGCTTGTCTTATTCCCAATTTTTTTTTGTTCATCCCACAGATCGATATATCAGCCTTTTGACCTTATTTTATAATAATTAATAGATTTTCATGTGGTATATTATTTATGCTAATAATAAATTGGCCAATCAATTGCCATGGAATCGATATATACATAAATGTGACAAACATAAACTCTAATAATCTCAATTAATAAGGTCATAAGGCCGATATATCGGTCTTTACTCATATTTATGTTTATGTTCACCCCTTGACAATTGATTTGCACATTTATTAACAATAAAATAATATTTAAAGTAAAATTCTTAGAATACCGATAAAATAAGGTCGTAAGGCCAATATATTGGTCTTTGGAATATCGGCATTTGTCCAAATTAGGAGAAGGAGAGGGCAAGAAAAAACAATTAAATAAAGATTTGTCAAACTCCACCAATCTCAATAAATTAAGGTCAATAAATGTCGATCTTTGCTCATATTTATGTTTATGTTGACTCTTTGACGATTGGTTGACGCATTTATTAGCAATAAAAATAATATTCAAAATGTAATTCTTTGAATCTCGATAAAATAAGCTCATAGGGCCGACATATTGGTCTTTGGAATATCAGCATTTGACCAAATTAATGGAAGGGGAGAGCAAGATAAAAAAAAAAATAAATAGAAATTTGCCTAACTCTACCAATCTTAATAAAATAAGTTTATAAGACCAATATATTATCTTTGCTCATATTTATGTTTATGTTGATCTCTTGAGGATTGATTGACTCATTTAATAGCATTAAAAATAATATCTTACCAAAAAAAAAAAAAAAATACAAAAGAAAATTAATCAAACTCTAATAATCTCGACTAAATTCTCTTATACTCTGTTAAAACAAGCCAACAGCCTTTGTGAATTAGTGTATACTGTTAAGATCAATTATTTCATATAGCTTATCAATAATTCAGTCACACTGAAACCTACCCTTTAGATGAATGTAACAAGGAAGGAAGAAGGAGATATGGTTATGAAAATGTAGGGTCTTGAGCTTAATACTATATTAGGAAACACTGTTTATAGGCCAACGGTTGTGTAAGAAAGTAATTTACACAATGTAAGAAAGTAATTTACCCCTTGTTTTTCCTCTTAATCAATTAATTAAGAATATTCAATTTGTACTGGCTTAATGTGTCCCAGGAGAGTCTTCTGATTCATGGTTGATGTAACAGAATAAATAATTACCTGCCTAAGACAAGCTCCAACTTTGGACGTGAAGAATAGGGGAGTAGTGCCTTACTGGGCTACCCCACTTTCTTTTTTTTATATTTATTTATTGTATAATTATTATTTATATTTTTATACCTTAATATATTTATATTTTATTTTTAAATCCAGGAAATCCTCATCTTCTGTGTTTTGACCAACATTGGAAGAAGATTATAAAACATTGTGTTGCAAATAATTATTATACTGGTTGTGATCTTCCTTCTGGTTTAATATGAAAAAATAAAGGCTGTTTTTTAATTTTACTTTTTGTTATTATGAAGCTATAACAATGTACATATGTATTATATGTTACATTGATAAATCTCCTATTGTTTTAATTATGATATTAGTTGGACTTAAAAATGTCAAAATCTTTTGTAATTGTAAATGTAAATCTTTTGATGCCTTAATTTATAAAATTACTAGTTTGACTGTATATTATTGATTTTTGTATAATTAAATGTGTAAATACACTTATTATGAAGTACAAACATTTCTTATGTTTTACAAACTTTCTCCACTGAGGCAATGTATTTATTGTAGGAATATATTAACCTATCAAAGTTAAAGTAGGAAAAAATAATCAGATTTTCTAAACTAAGTGGGACTACAGCCCTGTGAAGACCTGAGCCTACTCCACCACCTTTCTGCATAAAAACAAATGTGGAATTACAAAGTTTCTTTTTAATCTGGTAAGCTATATATATATATATATAGCTTACCAGATTAAAAAGAAACTTTGTAATTCCACATTTGTTTTTATCCTCCATCTGTTATTTTAACATTTCAGACCAAACATTTTTCCGATTACATTTCTTTCTCATATTCAGAGTGTACATATATTCTAGTCAAAATCAAGCTTGATTGTCATAGTTTACAATAGATCGGACAATTGTTTTATATAACAGTACTTTTGCTTTGTCTGAAAGAGATGGAAAATGTAAAAAAAATTTATATAAGAGAAGGCTTGATTGATGATCTATTGCCTGTCGCGAACCTGCTTTTTATATTTACTATTACAACATTGTTCTTATTTACTTGAGATCTGAGATACATTAACAGTCACATGGATTGAACTTACGACTGCCCAAAAGAGTTTGTTGTTGTCCCTTCATAGGAAGGATATTTCTCCGATACATCATATAGACTCTTTTTCCATTATTTACTTTAAGCTTTATTTGTTTTTTTGCGATTTCAAACTGAAAAGCATCAAACAGGGCCGTCATCTTTTCCTGCTGGTAGTATCATACATCCTATTAACATTTTTTTCTCTTTTTTTTTTTTTTTTTGGTGTCCTCCCTTTAAGGCTATACGGGATTTTCCTGCACCAGGGGGTGAGGGCTAGGATTTAAAAGACCTCTTGCACCATGACGCGAACTCATGGCTATTTTTATCAATTAATCATATATCAGGTTGCCAGGGAACGGCGGTTAGGTTGCTGTGCACACGCTTTAGCCTGTTCGGCCACCCTGCCCTCTTATATCCTACTAATATATATCACTTATTAATATAGCCAGAATTCTATGAGCTATGAGCAAGAATGTGATGTTTCTCTAATTTTTACAGACCACCCTATTTCCTTTTTTGTGGATCAGACATACAACTGCTTTTTCCATTCATCCCATAGCTCTTCTCTTATCCATATATACCATGTTAGTCTAAGTAATTCCTTTTCTAGCTCATCCCCACTGTTAATGCCCATTATTAATTTATTACTTTTTTATTTCATATTATTTTTCTTAGGTTAGTTTTTCATTCAATTTACAGTTAAATAATTTTACAAAAGTGAAATAATTTATTTTAAGAAGAAATTAATTGTGTATAGTTTATGAATTCGCTTTGTTTATGTGGGTTGTGAATATTGGAGAAGGATTGATACAGGGTTAAGTCCAGATACTTGGTCAAAGCAAGCAGTCTGCTACAGTTTTTCACTGCAAACGCACTTCGCCAACTGTTACACTGCTCACTTGCAGTTTTGTTTAATCTGATGAGCACTAATTTAATATTCATCTGAAGAGTTTGTTGATTGTTGTTCATCATACACAATACTTTCTTCCATTTCTACAGCCCATCTCATACTTTGTGCTGCCATATAGACAAATCTATCTACTTCTTTTTAATATTACTTCTTTTATTTTTTAATATTAGTAATACATATATTTTTTCTAACATTGGCTGTGATTTGTTAAATTCAGGAAAGGTTACATATATCCATATTTAATTTTATATGGATGTATAGAGAAATTTTGATTTATTTTTCTATTTTATTTTATATCAAGTGTAACAGCGGTTTTGATTTTATTTGTTATGTATTATTTTGTTATGAAACAATAAATACTTGTAGACCAGGCTGGTTTTTGTTTAATATTTTAGTTTCTTATAATTTTTTAATTAATTTTGGTTCATTATTTTCAATTATGAACCATTGTTATTGACCAATATTTTTTATATCTGTCCACCTTTTAAGTGCTCGTTCATACCTTCCTCAGTGCTGACCCATGCACCACCACCATTACCGACCCTCACCTCTTATACCTTGCACCAAACCAAGGAATTGCATCGTAAATTATATTAGTCTGGACATACATCGAGGCCACAGAATGACAATATTTATAATAATACTTTATTTATTCTGGGACGAGCCCCTTTAGAATAATAAAGGACAGAAATGTGGGCTAAGGAGCCTCAGAGATACATAAAAAAAATGCTGAGTAATGAAATAGTTATAATAAAAACTTATAAGTTACTTTCTAACTTAAATAAGTTAATAATAAAAAAATGAAAATAAAGTAAAAATAATGAAGAACTACCTATATGAAATGGTGTTTAAGTGATTCCTAAAGCCCTTTTAAACGTAATTACACGAACAATAATACTTTGAGAGATAATTTTTTAATATTTTTTTCGATAAAACATGGTTATCTTTTCCCATTTTTTGGGGGGGCTTCAGCCCGAAAGCCTCCCTCCCCGCCCCTCCCCGTAGATCAGCCCGTGGTTCAAATGGTAACTGCAAAACTGTACATTTTAGGACTTTTAAAGGTAATTAATCAATTTTAAAAATTGTCGGAGTTATCCTTTAAAACATAAATATCAGAATTTATGAAAGTAGTTTTAAAAAACCATACACGTAAAAATTATAATTAATTAATTAATATAACACTTCGTTGTTGTAACAAAACATTAGAAACAATGATACACAAATTACAAAATATTAGAAGCAATAATACATAAATTACAATAGACTGTATCTTTGTAAATAATGGCCTGGTTTTCCTGATTTTTTTTTTCGTTTCAAATAATAACGGGTCTAATCAAGAAAAAATGCATACTTTTTAAGTAATTCGCAAATGAAGTTTCTTTTCATTCATAGGTGGAAGCATATTGAAGTTATCACACTCTGTGATTTTCGGAAAAAAATTCAAAAGGAGGTGGCTTAGGTCAAATTTGTAGAATTTTTTTATTTTTCGATCGCAATGAAAATTCGTATTCGAAAGTCTTTCGAGCTGCGAAATACAAATCCCAACTCTGATTCTCCTTATAAAAATATTTGAACAGTTTGTTCCTAGGGTCGGTTAAAATTGTTTCTGATTTACGAATTTCTAACCGATTTAGATGATTTCTTTTCTTCGTTTTATAGAGAATTTAGTAAATTTTCAAATAATAACGGGTCTAATCAAGAGAAAAATGCATACTTTTTAAGTAATTCGGAAATAAAATTTGTTTTCATTCATAACTTTTTCCCTGAAATTCCGGGTGGATGATGATTATGATTCGTCACTATTCCATTTAATACACTTTCCTTTGATACCTCATTCATCAAAATCCATCTCTCCTGAGAGCCGGAAAAGGGATCGTTACGGCGAAAACTGTCGTATTATTTATAAAGATAGATATTTTCTAACACCCTCAATAACAAGCTACACTCCTTTTGCGAAGAGAGTGGTTTTGCAGTATCAGAGTGCCTTCCCTAGTGGAAAGTCCGCCACCTACCAGATGTTCACTTTCAGACAGATCTTGGAGAAAATGAAGGAATTCAACTCCTACTTATATACATATGCTTTTTGTAGACTTCAGTTCAGCGTATGATAGTGTGTTGCGAGATAAATTATATATGGCAATGGAAAAACTTGAAATCCCATCAAAGCTAATTAAATTGGTCAGGGCGACTATGACGTACACCAGCTGCCATGTACGAGTGCAACGAGAACTGTCAAATAAATTCAAATGAAACTTCCAAAAGCTTTAAAGGTTTAAATATTTAGGATCGGTAGTGACTGCGGATAATGGCGTGAACCAGGAGGTGAACCAAAGATAAGTAGCCTCAAACAGATGTTATTATGGCCCCTTGAAGTACATGAAAAGCCGTTTACTACTATGATCAACTGAACTTCTCCTGTACAAAGTACTTATACGTCATTGACGAAGACCAGTGTGAGGAAAATGACGAATGGAGAATCATTTGAAAACAAGAACTAGCCAATTTATACAAGGAGCATGATGTGATGAAATATATTCGGATAGCAAGGCTAATGTGGCCTCGTTGGACGGATGAACGGGACCTCAACTCCAAGGAAGCTGCTCGGCATTTAGCCGGATGGAAAAGGAAAAGTGGGTAGTTCGAAGCTGAGATGGATAGATGGAGTAAGTGTCGATGCCAGAATCCTTGGAATCATGAACTGGTGGACGGCTGTTCTGGGCATGGAAGCGTGGAAGGCAACTCTTGGGTTAGCCAAGATCCAGTAATGGATTGTCGAGCTCGAGAAGATGATGATGGTATTGGTATATGTCTGCTTTGCTTCAGTCTTGCCGGAAACCGTTACCGAAATAATAAGTAGCAAAATAGGAAGTTCCCTCATAGTCCACTAAGTGTTCCAGGAACAACCATCTATCAGCAAAGATATTATACGCGAGGTTTGCCTTTTTATCTCTAATAACCCATGTGTTTTGTAATATTCTATCAAATTATGTACATTTAACTAATTTAATATTTAAAGGTGAGTGGGGTAGCTCAGTGGTAGGGCACTTAGCTTCCAATGCAAAGGTCCTTGGTTCGAACCCCGGCTTATGGCAGAAAATTTATTTATCTGTTTCATTGGCCGTGGGACGACCCTGGGTCGGGGGACTCTCTTGGAGCACACCCAGCCTCTATAAAGTGGGTACCCTTAATTAAATAATTAATTAAGGGGGAAAACCTGGCGGTTGAGTGTGATCTCGGTCAAATCACCTCCTTGCACAACCGTTGACCCAGAAACAGTGCTTTCCATAAATAGTACTGAACCCCCGACCCTTTATCGGTTGTAGTGGCACAGGTTTTAGGTTTATATTTAAAGCTTTATTATTATTATATTGCAATAACATGTCCATCATATTGTGAGAACGTGAAGTTAATATAACTAATGTGACCCACATTCTAGTTATTTTTTAAATGTATGTAAAATCTCGACAAACAAATGTTCGATTTACAATTTATAAATATGTACATCTTAAAAA